GGGAAATGTTATGTCAGAACTAAGAGGGAGGAATGGGAATGGATGGGTCAAGTTTGAGTCAGAGGACTCAGCTCCTGTGCCAGAGGCTACCCCTACATGTCACTTTTTTTCTCCTTTACATTATCATTAATTGTACTATATTTTAAAAAATAACTTTAAAAAAAGTATACTTTTATTTTAATAATTTAATTATCTCTTTAATTTTAATGGTTTATATTTAATTTTTTTAATGATCTTAAATTAAGTCCTTAGTTTAACATTTATTTAATAATTAAAAAATTATAATAATATATTATTATATTTATACAAATTTGTAAATATATAATAATTAAATAAAAATTAAAAATTTTCTATTATATTTTATTTAAAACATAATACCTTTTATTTATATATTTTTTACTATTTTCATGAATAAAATTTTAAGAAATAAAAAATAATTTGTATAATTGAAAATAAAAAAATTAAAAGGGAGTAACTAAAGAGACTATATTTGGATATAAGGATTAAAAATGCAATATATAAATAAAAAATAATTATTTTTTATTAAAAATAAACATTTCCTAAAATTTATTACAATTAAAATAGTGTTTAATTATGTAAAAAAGTGTAAAATTTTTAACAAAATTTTAAATAAAATTGTTATACACACTAATGATATAATAAAAAAATTAATTATTAATTATACAATAATACATAAATAAAAAATGCCTATTATTAGTAAAATATATTATCATACATGTAAAGGATGAAATTTAGATCACCGTGAAAAGCTGGACTAGTGTAATTAAGAAAAAGACAAGCCAAAACATAGGTCAAGACTTAGATAGTATAAGTTGCATGTAAGTTTGAAACATTCATTCATCTTTTTAAAAAATAAAATAAATATGTATTTAATTTTTGTAAGTACAACGTTGTGCATAATAAAAAATTATATAAAATATTTTTATAAAAAATAATATCTAATAGTATTAATATATCAAATTGTATTAATAAAAAATTATTATCACTTACAATGTTGTACAAATTTAAAAAATTATATATATATATATATATATATATTATCTATAAATTATATTAGATAATTAATTAATTTTAAATTAGAGTATCATTCATTTTTTAGTAAATTTTTATTAAAATTATTTATTTAAATTCATCAATTTCTATATTGTAAACACGAGTATTAATTTTTTAATAATAAAATTTTTTAAGAGATTTTTGTTTATCTTTACTAAGTTATGTGTCTTTTATCATTAATAACTGAACATTTTTTATCTATAACTTATTTATTTTGAGTACTGTTTTTAATCTTAATTTAATTTAAATTTTAAAATTTGATATATTATGCTAAAGTAAAAGTATATTTTTATATACAAATTAAGATAATAATAATAATAATAATAATAATAGAAGTAAAATGCTGAAATATGGGAGTGTGGTTTGGCATCGATTTATACGGGATTGTAGAAAGATTTATATACACGGTTTCCTGTTATTTACTTTTTCTTTTCTCCTTTACTGTTATAGTGTCCTCTTCCTCCATAAATCTCTTTAATTTTGACATGTTTTCTCCCTTCCGGAGGTCTGGTGGTTTGATGAGCCAAAACAAAATTGCAGTGTCAACAGAGTCAACTTAATAAAGTAGAAAAGATGAAAGGGTGACGGATGAAAATGTAAAAAAATGTGCAAGCTAGAGATAAGAGGTTTGATTTTCATGACGACGATCGAATAAATATATTTTTGGTTACACAGAGAATAGCTTGAAGTGTAACAAATTTGAAAAGCAAAAAAGATAACTATGATTCAATTAAACATTAAAAATGTTTTTCTAGATTTTTTACCTCAAATCATAATCTACTCCACTGAATATATGGATTTCAGATAGCTAAGAAATATAATAAGTAAACAAAATAGGATGATTTTTTGTTCTCATAATGTTGCCTTCATACACAAATATCTATTTTTTTTAATTCAATTTGTTTTCCGGTCGTTGGTCCCTGTCCCTGTCATTCATGACTTTAAATTATCTTCTAAAGATATGCCACATGGGAGTTCCAAAAGTTACAATTTCACAAATACATCCCAAAATTTGCCTATATCTTGGCCTTGTTTGACAAAATGGCGCTCAAAAGAATAGATGCACCAGGCACGCGAATTTAAACGGTTATATTGTACCGAACAAGTATTCAACTGACTTTCCTTTATATATATATATATATATATATACCAACAAAAAAATGTTACAGAAAGTGTTGTTTTTAAACGACCGGGATGAAACATTCGCTGTGAGAAGTGTTCCACGGATCCCTTCCTCAGTATGCTGCAGATCCATTTTATCATTGCAAAGCTCATCTGCAAAGGTGAATAAAATCCTTTTGACTTAATGGTCTTAAATTACTAGAAGATAAACATATTTGCATGTTGCCTATATAGCTTACTGCAATAACATAATAATGTGTCAAACCACATTGCCATTCCCACTATTCCCAATATGGGACTATCAAATAGCTTACCGGCAATATCTCTAATTTCAATAATTTGATCTCCAGCAAATATTTTAACATCCGCGAGGGCCGCACATTCATTTTCAGCATCGATTTTCCTATCACCTTTATGCAGTATCTGGTTTTCTTTGACAATCTGGGAGGACAACTATCATTGATAAGATTCATGAACAAATATTTAGACATCATGATGCTGTGCTATCAGTTATAGCAATCAGATTATTATTGATGAGAAGGTAACACCTAACTAACTAATGTTCTCCTATGACAATGGGAAAGTAACTGATTTGTCCCCCTATCATCATCATTATTACTCCAACTTGAAATCCACTTCAAGGAATGCTTATTTAAATGTAGAATCTAGAAAAGAAGTCACTTGGAATTTTTTTTTCAAACAATTGGAACCAAGTGCTCATGGAATGTGCTTTGGAACAAAATATGGAACAACTGTGGGTTTCAAAAAATCTGCTCAGCTAGTTAACACTGCAAATCAGCAGAATCAAAATCTTCATACATCAATAGGGTTCACAGAATCAAAAGGTGACTATGCCCCACCCCCACCTATGCCACCAGATGATCTTGCATACAGAAAAGGGGGAAGCTGAGTGGACATTTTGCAAAGCCAGTCTCGCTCTTGACCAAATGGGCCAAACCCAAATTGGTCACAACAATAGGCTTCACAGAGTGGTATTAATGAACCACGCCCAATTCACTAGGGCTAGGGAGGAGATATAAGGAGGAAGATTTGTTTCAAGGGCTCACCTTTGGGGCACATGTGGGCCCACACTTTATCATAGTACAAGAGGTTTTCAGGCCCAATAATTTGAAAAAGATCTCATTTTGTGTTATAGCACCATGTTCAGCAAAGCTCAACATCCCACATCCCCTGTTTTGTGCGCCTAAAACAGAACTTTGGAAGTACTATATCCATAATTTCAACCTTGAGAACAAGGTTAAAATTCAAGTGGTATTATTAGGAGTTAAGAGAGAAGAAAGGAAAGTTAGTTATAGTATTTAGTTAGTTGAAGGGATTAGTTAGTTAGAGGGGATCTGTGAGGTAAATAAATACAATGAAGATGTAAGGGAAAGACATTTAGATATGTTACACATGAACTTTTACTGTGTGAAAAGGAAAAACTTAGAGGAGTGATCCCTATTTTATTTTCTATACTCTTTCTATTTTCCTAATGCCAACGTTGTGAATGGGCATAATAAAAAATTATATAAAATATTTTTTCTTAAAGATAATATTTAATAATATTAATATATTAAATTGTATTAATTTATATAATTTTTAATAAAAAATTATTATATATAATTTTTTTTATCACATACAATGTTGTACAAACATAAAAAATTTATATATATATTATCTGTAAATTATGTTCGAGTCAAACAATTTTAAAATTTTAAATTAGAGCATCATTCATCTTTTTAATAATTTTTTAAGAGAATTTTTTTATCCTTACTAAGCTATGTGTCTTTTATTATTAATAACTGAACATTTTTTATTTATAACTTATTTATTTTGAGTACTTTTTTTAATCTTAATTTATTTTAAATTTTAAAATTTGATACATTATGCTAAAGTAAAAGTATATTTTTATATAAAAATTAAATGTTAAGATTATTATGATAATAAAAATTATTATCATCATTATCTTAATAAATATAGAGTTAGATTAATTTTTAAATTATGAATTATGAACAGTAAATATTATGTATTTTTATTTTAATTATTTATTTTAATTGCTTTTTTTTCTTAATTTTAGAAGTCTTATTTCTTTAATTTAGTCCTATTTGATATTAATGTAATTTATTTCTATTTTAGAATCTTCATCATTCACAGGTCAATTCAAATGAATTTATATTATTTTGATTATCATAAAAATAAATGGATAAACAACAAATAGTAAAAGATATCAAGAATAAAAATAAAACAAGTATTAAAAAGTGCTTCATTAAATATTACTATTTTACTTAAACAATTTTTAACTAATAAAACATGCTTTTAGCTGCTAAAAGGTATTACTAAACACATCCATAATTTCACGATAGTTCGCTTTATTTCAATCAATCTTATCTTAATATGCATACCAAACATTCCTTCAGTTCTATTTATTTTTAGGCCAATGATTAATAAAAATCAGATAATTAATTAATGATACAGCAAGCTTTGGATACTGAAAAAAAAAAAACAATTAACTACAATGTTAAGATATTACTACTAGTTAAACAATTATTAAATAATAAATACATTATTTTAAAATATCAATTTTATTGTTTTTATTTATATTTTATAAAATAATAAATGAATTATTGATAAAATATTTCAAGATATATAACTAGTTTCTTACTGCAGAAAAAACGAATCAAGTAAACAAATACTCAATCTGAAAACAGGTGAGTATGACGAAAAGGATAGCTAAATAGTTATTCACCGGAGCTAAAATGCATAAAAGATATGTATAACAGTTCACATTTGATGCTACACCATTAGAGAAATTTTATATTAATACTTTCGTAAAATGAATAATTATTGCGGATACAGTATATACAAAAATACCAGAAACAGTCTGGACACTGGACCAAGGAGTTCCAATCAGCTAGATTGAAGTTATGGCCAATGGGTTCAAGGTTGGGATGGCATTAGCATGTCATTTAAACCCATTAAACAAAATGGATATAAATCCAGGTTTCAAAATTTCTTTCAGGTACAATCCAAGTTTGAAAACTAGAACAATGACACAATATAGTATGACAAAAAATTAAAAAGAGAGGCAAAATTGCCGTAACTCACAAGGAATACGTGTAATCTATGTATCACAAATCACAAGATGTAATAAAGTATTTCAGCACTCTTCCTGTTGCAAAGTCAACCAAGGAAATCAATTGCAAAGTTCCTCCCCTTATAGTCAGTTTGTGCCCTGAACAAGGAGCAAAACATGTCATTCCAACAGTTCAATCACCAAAAAAGGCTGCCCTTTTACTCAGTTTTCTGCTCCAAACTCGCACTTTCTGATACTTCCTCAATCTCCGGGCTAGTAGCATTTTTGGGACTACTGCTTGTGATTACACTCTCTGCTACAGATGCTGTTGCACTTTTAACTGTCTCACCATTGTCAGATCCTGTATTTGGGGAAGTAAGACCAGAGATTCGTTCATCCATATGCTTTGGTTTGTTCAATGCATGACAATGTGGGCAGTAGTATGTGATAAACGGGAAATCCTCCTTCCGTGCTAGACCTGGAAATTGTATTCATCCATTAACATTGATGAATAGAAGGAAAAAAAATAAACTAGCACTAGTACGATTATTACTATTTCTGCAATAAATGCAAAAGGACCAAAGCATAAAACGTCAAATCTAGACCCCTTACCGTTATGCATATGGCAGTTACCGCATATTAGAGCATATGACTGTGTTGGATCCTCACCCACAAGCAAAGCTGCAATTCGTGCAATCCATCCTCCATCTTGTGTGGTTGAATTTTGGGGTTGGTGATGTTCAACAACAAGCTGATCATGTTCAGAAGTCTGACTTTGATACATTCCCCCCGAACCAACCAATTGTTGATCAACAAAATCCGGTGTATTTGTCCCTGGACTAGTAGATCTAGATTGAATTGGTTTCCGATTTCTAAGTCCAGTGGACTGCACAAGTTCAACGTCATTGCTCTTCCCTATTGGAGCACTGGGATTGGATTCATCTCCCACATACACTTTCAAACCAGAATCTGCACCCAACTTGGATGCCAAAACAGTTGCAGCAGCTGCTTTAGCGGCTGGGTCTGGGTCATATCTCTGAGTAGATCACAAGCACAATACACAATAATATTAAAGCAATTGCAAACAGATAAAATCAAGATCTACTCATTGGTAATACAATTTAAAGCACATACACAGGCTTAACCACTTAAAATCAATGAATAAAGGAACTTTGATTACAGTAGTCGTGGGGAAAATTCACAAAATAGAAGCATGGGATTATGCATGTCATGGATTAAAAAAATTCAATATAATCAAGAATTAGGAGCTATGTCATCAAACTCTGTTACGTTTCTCCTTCCCCCCCCCCCCCCAAAAAAAGTTTTTGTGCCCTCCGAGCAGGATGAAGAAAAGGTGATGTTGAAAACCATGTAACAAGCACTGGTTCAAACAATCACCTGAATGAGCTGTTGTGTAGTGTAATAATTTGTCTTTTCTTTGAGCTCATCAATTTTTGCTTGCCTTTCAGCTCGAAGATTTTCAAGAATTTTCTGGTCCCTGCGATCACCTATAAAATCATGCATCGTAATTAAAAATTTTCGAAGGGAACATGTAAAATTCTAACTGCATCATTAAATTAGAATCCAATGTCAAAATCATTAGAACTATGAAGCATTGCTTTTATAACTTATTATTGATGGCAAGAAATTACTTTTTTATTAATATCAAATGCTGTTTCTTATGGCATATTTATCACACATAAATTTCATTAGAGCTGTTTGAACATGATTGCATGAACTTTAGCAGCTTCTAATGAATTTTAAAGACTACCGTAATCAAGCATTTATATCAGCATTTGCAGGCGGCACTGAAGCTATAAAATTGACAGCATGAAGAAATCCATTCATAAAAGGCATTCATTCAACAGATTACTAAACTATAGACTTCTCCATTGGCTCTATCAATTATTGAAGGCATTGTTTACAGGAGTTGATTGGCTTAAAACTCACTTTTGAAACTTTTCCATCACAACTTGTTGGGCAAAAAATAAGGCAAATGGTAGAAATTCTAATGATAGAGATACATTCAAAACCCTTTTCAATTGTAAACCATATCATAAAACAGGACCAACATCAATTTTGAGAATTGCAAAATATAAGTTATAATTCCATCGACATCAATGACAACTGCAGATTGAGTAATACTTAAGTAACCTCAATCATAGTAAAACACACAATATACACATAAAGCATCGTTATTAAAAATGGAAATTAAAAAAAAAGCACAGCTTCTGCAAATAGTGTATTTTAATTGTAAAGCTTATGACACTTACACATCCTTGTGAAGCTGATAAATGCGGAATAAGCAGCAGACGCCAGTGCAGGCACAAGAAACATTGGTAAAACCCGGATTGCCCTCATTTTCCAACTCATATCCATTGATCTTGTCGTCATAATAGCATAACCTACAGCAACGACCTGAAAGTTGAAACTATTTTAAGCAAAATTCCTTTTTTTTTTCAATTACTATATATATATATATAAGCACTTACAGTAGGACCATGAGAGCAACTTATTTACACACATTAGAGACCAAGTAACAACTTAGTTGGCTATTCAATCAAAACGACTTAATAAAAACTGAACTTAATAATCACTGACTGATTATTTGGTCCTAATTCTCCCAGAAAAAAAATTCACCGTAACACAACATATTGGATGGTAGAGAAGCTAAAAATTTTAATTCCTTTTAATATTCACGTTGGCAAAGAGAAACAACTGAAAATTATATCACATTTAAAGGTCAAAATACACGTCAATCTCATAATGAAATGTCATTAATTAATGATTGACAACAAATGTTGATAACAAAGTATAATTAACCATTACCACACCTCAAATATGATAGAGAATACAATAAGATGGCGGGAAAATTGCCTCCAGGATCGGGATCTCCGTGTCATTCTAGCAATAACTGCAGCTTCCTCTTTAGAAATGTATTGCAACCTCTTCTCAAAATCATCGCCGTGTAACCTAAATATTCCATTCCAAATTCGGGAAAAGAATCCCTTGCGCTTCTTCTTTCCATTCCCAGCGCCAGTAGTTGCACTCATCTCTTTCTTCTCACCTTCCCCAACTTCTTTCTCATCCGCCATCCCCTGGAAGAAGAAAAAAAAATTTCAACGATTCAAATTCTCCATAACAATTAAAGATATTTAGTGAATTCAACGATAATTTTGTTACGATAATCAAACAATCGGAGAAGGTTGAGAAATGAAAATGAAAGCGTGAGATCAAGGAAGGACAAAGATGAATTGGAGAAAAATACTAGCTATCGTGGATGATCTTATCTCGTTGCTTCAGATCTGGCGAGTGAGAATGGTGATTGGAATCGAAAAGGCTTGAAAATTGGGGAGTTTTCTTCTTGTCTGCTTCGAACACAGCATGAGGGGTGCAATGAAGAGCAATTACTTCGATGCCACTCAATCCGCGAGCCAATTTTTCACCTCCCGAAGGTATTAGGATTAGTGAAAAGCGAAAACCATATACCTTAATCATTGGGGTAACCTGATAGATATATCAAATGGTGTTTTCGGAAAATAAAATACCTACGTGTAGTAATTTTTCAAGGAGTGTTTTCATTTTGACACTTGGAAAATCGGTGCGAAGAAAAGGAAGATATGAGAAAGAATTTGATAAATGATGTGATAATAACAGAAGTGAGGTAAAAAAAAACAAGAGTGAAAATTAAATTTAGAAAAAATAACTAGCAAAATTTTATAGTTAATTTTATATTTTAATTAAATTTGATTTTATAATGAGAAACACTTTTTTATATCTCAATGGAAATATTGTTAGGTACCTTTTAATAATTTAAAATATGTATAGATATTAAAATAATTATATAATATTATATATAGTATATTTTTCAGTAGTTCAAATTAGAAAACCACTTTATAATCCAGCTATCGATAGATGAAAACCTGAAGTTTAAGTTTGACGTGAGTTAAATTACAAATACTTGTTTAAAAATTGAATTGCTTATTTAAAGCTTGGAGTTTAATTATTATTTTAGATGTTAATTGTTTGGAGAAAATCTAATTTAATAATATATATATATATATATATATATATATATATATGATATTTGAGTGAACATAATTAATTTGCGAGTTATAACAATATAAATAATACGTATTAAATCATTCGCGAGTTATTACCATAAAATTAATATAATTTGAACCTGCCTCATTTATTATTGTTTCTTGATCATCATAAGATATCACTCATATCTTAAAGATGTCCATCTCACATTTGTACTTACATTATAAAATATCACTTGTAGTGTTATTTATAAAAATATTGATTACTAATAATTTTTTTTTATAATTATACAAAGTAAAGTTTTATATTTAAATAAATCAATTGTTAAATTTAGTTATATTTTTATTTATAATAAAATATTTGCCAACAAAATATTTACTTATTATTTATATAAAGAATACATTTATTTGTTATATAAAAAACTTCTTTGACCATTGGAATATTACAATGAGGATTGAAACTGGATCAAACCTTCTCTACAAAGAAAAAGAAAAAGCATCAAGAAGAATGAATTTAAATTGTCACTCGAGCGAAGCTCCTGCTACCACGCGACACGCCATGCTATCATTCATGAGATTTCCACATCCCATTGGAGGAAGGAATGCACAAGTGGAATTTATAATGATAAGAGCTGCAATGTTCTTCTCCAAATTTATCTCATATTCCATCTTCTTTCACTTCCTCTGTCATTGGCTCTTCTTGCACCAAGGGATTTGTCCTCATTATGTTGTCTACTAGTTGTTCCAAACTTAAGAGGCACGATTTGACGAATGTATAAATTTCCAGGAAAATTCCTTTTATCTTTTGGAATTTTTCGTAACTGTGGCAACCAGTATGCAACATATTCACCTTCAGGGTCATATGTTTGTGCCTGAAAAAATGTAATTAGTGAAAATATTTAAGTTCACTCTACTAAATTGCTGTTTCTAAGCCTTCATTTGGATTTTTTTCTTGTATGTGCAATGTGATCACATATCAAATATCACTGAATTGCAAGCCTTTCAAATCATACATTCAACCTGAAAGAAACAACTTTACAGCTACATGCATTTTTTGAGTGTGTTTTGTACAAAATCATTCACATAAATTTATAAACCTTCACCTGGGAGAGTCAGTCTAAGAGATGGTGTTAGAACCTCTATGATCAAGTAGCCAAAATTTTGATCTTTGCAGTTTCAATTCTTCAAAACAATAGTTGAATTTTAGTATATGCTAAGCTGGATCTAGGCTGTGTTTACGTGTGGCCTCAAGAGCCCTCTAGTGTGATGAGATGTGGTTTATACAAATCATTCATGAGCCCTTAACCAAACAGCTCAAACTTTTGGAAAATCAGTGCATATTATACTATAATGACACCACAACTCTAATAGACAGATAAAGCATCAAACCATATACCCTTCAGGAATCAAAACTATCCAACGCACCCTACTTTTATAGTTATAGCATGTTAGTGAAGGTGAGGATGTTAAATCATATATTGTAACATTGAATCTCCGTATAGCCTCTTACTTGTTTTGGGATGCTGAAATAACGATCTTCTCTGGGATCATTCCCAACTCCTGAACAGGAAGAACAAAGAGATGGATTGTAATTTTCATTGTTTAAAAATTTGTGAACAGATTAGTAATGTGGACATAGCATATTATAAAATCTGTGCATTTTCTTTCAGGTAGAGTGATCAAATGTGTCAACATTTTCTCTTTCTTCAGCTTTCACTTTGGCAATCCTAACTATTTCCTGAATTAGTATGAACAAATACAAACAAACAAATCTCAAACTAGCAAAAGAATTTGAGTGGTCCAAATAATACTATTCATCAACAAAGTCATGTTAACAAATGATGCAATGCCCCAATTAGTTATTCAATTAGCAGTACCACTACAGCCTAGTGGTTTATAAGACATACACTTAATGATAACGGGTTGAAGGATTATATTGTATTTCAACAAAAACATTTTTTAAATTAAAAAATGAGGATAAATAATTCGGTACATGTAGGCTTACATCTCCATGCACACTTAGTTTATTAGCATAGTTATCCAAATAAAGCTACCTGATCCATAAGTCCAGTTTCCATAATTAGAGCACGGATCATAATCCAAAAGACACGTCTCAAACCATTCTGCCCCCATGCGCCAATCTATGCCCATATCTCGAACAAGAAAGGAACACACAATCTGTCAAAAAGGCAATCAAGTTTCACATCTCAGTCACAAAGGTGTGTTCAAAATCCCACTAAAATATAATATTATCTACTTTGGTCCAAGAATCATATTGTATAAATTTCTAACAATTATTATACTGTAGGAACACAATAATGGGCTCTGGTTAACCTGGCGTCCTCGATTTGACATAAACCCAGTAGTTGATAGTTCTTTCATGTTGGCATCTATTAGAGGATACCTTGAGGTCCAAAGAAAGAAAAATAGAAGAAAGAAAGTGTCAACTCATCAGAAATATAGGATACTAATTGTGATTTGATTATTTAAATTTTCTCCCTCATTCCCTAAGATATAATATAAGATAATTCTAAGATACTATTACTTTAGAGAGTGACAAATTTTAGGTCTGTGTTAAAAGAAATAATAAAATTCTGTATAATCTGAATTTCTGACAGAAACAGTACCCCGTACAACCATCTCTCCAAGATTCAAACAAATTCTTGTCTTGGCTCCGATTGTGCTGAACTTTCCTAGGGCCACCTGAAAAGGAAAAAAGAAGATTATACTTATTCTGAACAAACTGATTTTAACAAGAAAGTTCTGCAAAGATGTATTATCTCTCTGGCACTCCATAACTACTAGCTATGGATAACACACTGGTATAAAATCAACAGAATTTTTAAACATAAAACACCAAAGGCATCAAACACTGGAACCTATTAATACCTAAATGGAAAAGTGAATTCCCATATTTCAGAGATAAGAACCTAAAGTAATCTCTCCATATCAACTCGAACAAAACCCTGTAAAAACATAGATGGGTTCAGAAGAAGAAAACATAATGAGATGGGAGTAAAAGTCAAAACTGTTTTTATATAACTTTCTATAATATTACTAAAATTTCTTGCAGATTGAAGTTACTGTAAATCAAAGAACTAAGTTATTCTCATCCTATTTTCTTCCCTTCCATGCATTGTCCTTTATTTTTCACTTCAGTTCATTTTATCACAAACACAGAGCATTGACATTTTTTTAAAAAAACTACTCTGCAAAAATAAGCTTTTTTGGGTGAAGTTAAAGCAGCTTTGCGAAATCCAACTAGACAGATTAGTTAATCTTTAAGAATAATTAATGAAATGGTAATAAGGGAATACCATCTAGAAATATGATAAAGATATATATTAATGAGAATGACGCAATGTTATACCAATAGGTAGAACTATTTGCTAGTCTTTCATTCTCGTATCTCTGCACCTATAAAGAATACACCGAACTCTGTCAATGCACTCACATTATTTCAGATATCATACAAAGCACAAAACAGAATATTTCCAACTTTAACCTCTTCATGTATGAAACGAGGAGACAAGCTTCCTGAGGCAAGCCAGGGTGAGAATTTGGTAGAATAATCAGGCCCCAACATTCCATTTCTGGTCTCTTTGTAGACCTTTAGCAAATCCTACATATGCACAATCTTAAGCATGCATTAGTCCCAAACTAGACTCCTGAAAACGATGAGTTCATTTCTTATTTGACCCTTTTTCCTACTTTTGTGCCATAAGAAATTAAATAGCTCTCATTTATTTTGTATGCAAAGTTACTGCAAACTGGTTATACAAAGTTGACCTGACAACATATTTGGTGAGCGGTGATGCATTCATTTCATAAAGCATGTGTAGATTCTATGTAGGCAATTCACAAATAGAAGATTAGTCATTATCAAAGATTACTCCTGAACATAAAGTACAACCAAAAAATAACAGATCACTCCTGCACTAACTCATTATTTACCGAGTAGCCATATGCAGCAACAGTGACAAAACATAAATTGGAACTACACTGTCAATTTGAGACAACCAACCTTCTTCCAAAAGTACTCATATACTCTGCTCAATGCTGCAGTTTCACCCCCCACAAACTTCATCCCTTTGCTAACCTATATCAAGTGGAAGAAAACAAAGGAAAGAACAAAAATCATTATCTTTTAATTCTTGACTTCAAAAGTCTCACGTTAATTTCCTTTAAAGCATGCAGAAATCTTGAAGAATGTCCAAAAATTATGGCAAAACCTACATTCTGTGTGCAAAGTCCCAGCTGCTCTAATGAAGGAAGGCATCCCCAATCCTCAATTGGGGGAGATGGTCCAAGAGATGCTGGAAGTTTGATGCATGTGCGTATGGTACATTTGGCTTCAACAATCTACAAGTTTCAGATAATTGGATCCCATTAGCATGCTTAACTAGCAGTGAAAACAAATGTCAATTGAATAAAACATGCCTTACGAAACTGAGTATACACATCTGGCAAACAAGTGTCATCAAAAGGGAGGTCATCAAGGTGGTACATTGTGGTACCCCAAATAAACTGCAACTTAGGAACTTTGTTTGAAACTGTCACACCAGTGGATTCCTCAGGAGATATCACCACTTGTTGAAGACCTTTGCTGACTAAGCTTTCAACATTCAGCTCCTCACTGCATGTTTCTTTCTGCGCATACACCTGACAATTTTACACTCATCAATCAACCCTATCTCTTCAACCATGAATTTTCATCAATTTGAACAAGCTTATTTAACATGTTTTAATTTCAAAGACTTTTGCACGTCTGGTTCAGCTTATTTTGAGGAAACAATCACTTATGTTTTAGCTTTGTGAAAGAGTTTTCAAAAAATAATTTTTTAACGGCTACAAACGTCAAAAAATATGCCATTTTTTCTCTGAAAAATAGATAATTTAAACATGCACTTACTGTATGAGCTCCAAAAGCTTTTGCAAGAGAAGGAAGAATGTCCTCAGGTTTGCCATGTCGTATGAGCAAATTAAGCCCTTTTTTAATCAAATTCTTCCTCAAGTCAGCCAAGCATTCAAGGAGAAATTGCGCTCTCAATGCTGCATAGAAGTAAAATGAATATGAATGATGCTATTACTATCAGCTCAAAAAAGACATAAAAGGTGAATATGAGTATGAATATAAGTTATATAAAAATACCCCCGGTTTTTGGAAACCCAAAATGATAAGTGGTGGCAAAGAGTCGAGGATCAACACAATAGACAGGTAACACAATTTCGGAGGAAAGCCATGCCTTAAAGAGAGCCTCATTATCCAATACTCTGAGATCGTTTCTGAACCACACAATGGCTGTTCCCTTGCCACTCCTCTTGGTGTTGGACGTGTACCTTTGAAATGTGTTGTCGGCTACACGGTCCATGTCGTTAGCATCTTGCTCTGGCACTAGGAACGATGACGAAGAGGAAGAGGCCGAGAAAGGTTCGGATTTGGCGCATAGGTTCATCGTTGGGAACCGAATTCTTCTTGTTGGGTTTGTGAATAATATGTTTAACGTGGACTTGGACGAGGATCTTAGTAAAAGAAATGGAAATGGCGCGCAGAGAATTGCCATGTATAACGTTGGTGTTGGGTTTGGCTAAAGGAGAAAGTGAACGACCAACCAAGCAGTTGCACGTATGACACGTGGCAACCAGCGTTAGGTGTGACGTGGCCAATTACTAGCCTGTGGATATACTTACTCCTACCCATTAATCAAACTGTTTTGGTCAAGAAAGTGGTAATTTCATTTTCAATTGTTCTGTTTCAACTTTTTTAAATTATAATTACTTTTTCAAACAAAATGAGTTTTTGTATTTATAATCAAAAGATTATTTTCTATACAATTTTTTGCTGTTATTTTCTATACAATTTTAAAACTTTTTTGTTTTGAATATTCATTATTTTATAGATGTTCAACATCTATTGAACATAATTTTTTTTATGAGGATATACTAGAATGGATAATACACTTCTCTTCTGCGTATTTTCTTTATATATTTTTTCCTCTCTTGATTTTCTAAGTTCTCTGTAATCTGTCTCTGCTTTCTACATATCCCTTTTTTTTCCCTATACAATGCTTTCTACGTATACTCTATTTTGTATTACCTTAGTTTCTTAAACCTAAAAAAGGCATTAAGAAGAGAGTTGAAGAGGGCCGGATCAGTTATGAAAGGTTATATAAGATACTGGGATTGGGCTATTTGGATGAGCCCAAACAAATAACGAAGTACGGTTCCACTTGTTTCTGGAAAATTCATCCAGACCAAAAAACAAAAGTTCTAGAAAATTCAGTAACCTTCCATTCCACGGCAACGTAAGGGACAATATTAGTTTATGTCGTTTGATTGTAATCGGAAAGGAGCATGAAGATGTCGGCGTACGACAGCGTTGTGATTGGGAAATTGAGGTTGAAGGGAAAGGCATTGGACGTGAAAGCTTGTGGGATTCAAAAGAAGAAGAAGAAGAAACACGTTAAGAGGTATCATCACCTCTCTGAAGCCAATTCAGGTAAACTTAACACTCTTTTTTCCTTCTTTTTTTTTTATTCTTTGGCTGAAACCACGTAAGAAATATATTAGCCACTCTGTTGTTTCGAATAGACAAATTCCATTTTCATTTAGATGAGATTGGCATGTGTTGGCAAATATCCAAGGATACTTAATCAGTTGTGTCTTGTAATGGTTTATTTCAAGATAGTTATGTAACAAATAATGTTGAGAAAAACTATTGTGGCGTACAAGATGCAAGGTGCTTATTTTTGCATTTAGTTGAAAAGATAATCCTATGTAAAGAAATAGTTAGCGGACTGCGAACTGTGTTGCGGTTCGTGCACATCATTGGTGAGATCTGTTGATGCTGGCATCAATAAGTTAACTGCATCTAGTGGTGTGCAAATTTACTGGTGAACATGCCATTCAGAATGCCCCTTTGTGAATTTATTTATAGGAGGTTAGTTTATTGTGTTTACAGCTTATTATCATATTAAATGTAGGCATTTTGAAGAAAGCTGAGAGTTGTTACTGGATTAATGGGAAGCATGACGCTTAGCAAACATTTGATGTAATGATATTGCCGCCTTGTTTGGTCAAATTTTGATTCCCCTATAAATTCAATATTTCCCTTCAGTCAATGTATTTGGTTATTGAACATTTCTTCTTGTCTCAGGATGAAGTGATGCAGACTGCTAAAGATTCAGAAAATAGATACACTCAAAAGGGCAAAGAAACATTGAAATACGGTTAATATTTGATTCTGTGCCCAATAATTTTTTCCTTGGGTGTATGTTGGTTACGTTTAGATCTTATTCTCATGTTTTAATTGATAGAAATTTGTTTCGATGCATATTTTTGGGGCGTTTCTTTGATTATATATGCAAGTTTGGCAATTTTGAATATTTCTTTATTTGCGATAGAGTTCAGACTTGTGGAGTTTTTTTATCTCTAAAGGTGTTGAGTATCGTTAGGCAATTCATGTTCCGCTGCAGTTTTTGCTCTCTTTTAAAAAATCTTTTATTAATCGTATTTTCTTCATTTTGGAGATGTTAGATGGAAACATGTCAACGGATGACCATGAAGATAGCATAAATGAGACCGACAAATATGGTGGCAATGAAAATGGTGCATCATATGATGATCATCTTACTCCAGCTGAGAGGCGATTTCTCCAGCAGACACACAAACTTGAGTTTCAAAGGCTGGCAAAGATGGCAAGCATGTCTCATAGAGATAGGATTCATCAGTTCAATCAATATCTGGCCAATCTTAGTGAGCATTATGACATTCCAAAAGTGGGCCCTGGCTAACCAAACACTGCTGTTTTTATTTTATGCTATTAGATGTATTGCATTGTTGAAGTCATAAAAATAAGAATAATGTTTTGTAAGATCATAAACAATCTTAAGATTTAAGATTTCTCTGTCATATTCAACAATGGCTCAATCTCAAACCACAACTTGCTTGTCAATGATGGCTACTCAAGGGGAATAGATAAGGGTCAATCAGTCTGATGCTAAATCTGTTGCAAAGTCCGAAGCAAATTTAGCCGTCATAACACGCAAAATCAGCAGCCACGAAGGTTCTCATTTTCCTCCAATTCCAAACGCAAAATCACTGGTATGATAATTTTATGAAGATTTGTTTATTTAGCTCTTTTTCTAATTATGTTTTGTATTTTTATTCAAGTTGGATGAAGAAATTAGAAGAAAATGTAGATGAGTACGCAATCTGGTTGACGAGCAAGTTTCTTGATCATATGATTTCTGAATACTCACTATTTGATGCTATTCAGACATAACACAACAGAACAAACTAACGTTAATATAATATTTTTAAAATTTTTTTTTTTAATGAATAATATATATATATTGATCTTTCATTTTAGACTCTTCTCATTAAGTAATGAATTGCATTAAAGAAGCATGCTTCTTTTTACAAAATTCAATAACTTCCGTTAGTTTATTTAAGAAAATATTGTTGACCTTGTGCGACAACTTAAACAAATATACAGTTAAATATTTACAGCTTCATAAAAACTTATATCTTTGTCATTTCTTTCTTTCTTTTTTGAAATCCAAATCCTAAGTATATTTAGATGGTTTTAATATTATTTTTAATTAAAATTTTGAAAAATATTTCAAAGTTTTAACAACAATAATTAAAATGAAAAATAAAGTGCTAGTTATCACAGTAAAGCTTCAATTTTAATTAAAAAACGTCATTAAAAAAACGCTTAAAATGCTATTATTAAAAAATGTGTCAATTTTGATTGGTCAATGTGCTATGTCTAGTTATATGCTTTTCTCCTCTTTTCTTTAAGTATAATTGAAACTTTTTTTTTCCTAACTTTCATATTTATAATTGTTTATTTTTTGTGCTTTAACACGCCATGCAACTTATCTATAATTTATACTAGTAATGTTTACAAATCATCTTTCATAACATTTCTATCACATCTAATTCTCTCATGCAATAACTTCTTTACATACTTTTTTATTTTTAAAATTTAGTAATAATTTTTATTATAAAAAATTATTATTTTCTTAGGAAAAATTAATACTTTTAAAAATTAATCAAATCAATTACAATTTAACACAAAAGAGACCAAAAGATATTGTTTAACCCCTCTGCGAACAAGCACTTACTGAACAGTCAAAGAAGAATGAACATAAAAGGGAAATATATCTATTTTACTGTGGAAAGTTGAAGCAGAGTTGAATGAAAAGAAAAAAGTTTCAACTAACTAAACTGCTCTGAAAATGCCTCCAAGAAAAAAAAAGGGTCCCGAGCCACGAAATCCATCGCCGGCGAGACCCACTCGAGCCACGCTTCATTCCTCAAACCGAGTCACTCGCGCCACACGAGCCACCGCGAGCAATTGTCCCATATACTTTCCCGAAGCGTTACGCTCCCCAAAGCGCAAGAAAACCCACCAACAACCTTCTCCCTTTGCTGTTGCTTCCACTTCCAACCCGAACCCAGACCCAAAAACCACCATCCTTATTGAACACTGGTTATTTCCCACCTCTCGTTCTTGCTTATTTGTGTTTTGTTATGTTATTCGAGTTTAATGAAGTAATATGAAAAAAAAAAAACAATGCAAATGGACAATTTCTTGATCATGTGTTATCCATGCAACCCGTTTCTTGATTGCATGGTTTCTGTTTGGCGTCCTTCGTAAGTTCTATTGTGTAAAGATTCATTTATGGCCAAGAATGAACGTTGGGTTATTTTTCATAGTCAATATTTGTTGCATGGTCAAATGTTTTTATTTTAAGAGAAAAAGGTTATCAACTTGCTGCATGATACGTGAAGATTGGTGGGGTTTATGACACGTGGTAATTTATGGAGAAGAGACACTTTATTTGTTAATCTTGATTCACGTTGCAATTTTTGAAACTCTCTATTTTATTTCATTTTAATGGCATTGAATTTAACTGTTGAAACTTAAAATAGTTATAAACACATTTTGGTGCTGCTGTTTGGGCTATTTGCCAAGCTTAATTGTCTCTCTCTTTAACATCTGAGATTGCATGTTTTCTTTGCCTTAGTACGCAAAGTGATTCATTCGAGACAAGAGCCACAGAGGCGAAAGAAGGTCTAGAGGCCAGAGTTCGTAATATCACCGTCAAATTCAACCATAAAAAGGTTTGCTCTCGTTTTGTATATCAGTGGACATCATGAGATATTATTTTGATTTGAAAGTGCCAAATTTTGTTTGGTAATACATGAAATATAACCTTTTTTTTTTACCCTAAGTGAAGGTTACTTCATTTTGCATTTTGGGTGGGACAGGCCTTTAGGAGACTTTTTGCTGAAAATTTTGATTTAATAGCGCATTTAGATCCACATTTAGTTTAATTGTTAATAATTTATGTGTACTTTAATATTATTAATTATAATTTTTACGTTAAAGTACAGAATTTTTAACACAATTTCAAATACAAAGTACATGATATATCAATTTAAAACTTTTGGGCAGGGCAACAATTCTTAAGTGTTGTATGATCTATCATTTGATAGTGTAATCAGTTTAGCTGAGAAGTCAACAGTTTGATTGGTCCAAATCTGACACATTTTTTTCCCATGAACCAGCCTAGGAAAGGATGCTTTGAAATAAGGGAAGAAGGAGGCGAGAAGTTCATCACCTTATTGGTAAATCTTGTTCCTATAATTTGAACAATGGCTAGTTGTTATGTTTAATTATTAATGATTTTTTTAATATTTATTGTATTAAAGTCATAAAATTCCAATGAATACTTTTTTTTTAATCAAATTTTACAATTATTGTTAGTTGTATGTTCAATTAACATTTTTCAATTATTAATTATCAAATAGTTTTTTATTTTTGCAAAATTAGAGTTGCTATGTTACCGATTGGTTCTTAACTATTGTTGTCAGCATCTTTTAATGCTACTAATCCGTTTTTAATTATTATTATTTTATTTCAGAATATGAAGCCTCCTTTTCAACCAATGATGTATCTAGACATGAAGAAGCTCGTCTCGGATATCGCCGACAAGATCAACAATAATAAACAAAATATGAATCCCCATTAAATCTACAATAGTAGATTTTAGGTACTAAGCAACATGTTTTTAGGCATTACTTGAATTTAAGCTAGATAAGTTGTTATTGTGATAGAAATCAAATGGGAACCTACTTGTTCATAATCTCTTTTTTGTTGTTGTTGGTCTTTGTGCTGGATTAGATGCATTGTACAGTATACGGTCCAAAATTGCTTCAGAGAGAAGAAGAAAAAAAAAAAGACCTACCATCCAATGTGCCTCATATTTCTGCCCATTCATTTCAATATTTTGGTGGAATAACCAAACATGCAGATTGGTGTTTGAGACGTATTATTCTATTTGTTAAGTGTCTAGGATGAATTCCAATCTATTGCTTCTAATCCATATCTCTTTTTATTGTTTTTATTATGTGCACAGATTGATTTTTTAAATTAATATATAATCTCATTATATCTTCTTTTTTTATCATTTCATTTAAATGTTACTTATTTTAATTAATTTACACCAAACCCAACATTTGATTAGTAAAAAGGAAGGCATAACAAACAAAAGATATAATTATAACAGTTAATTAAATAATATATTTATGATATTAAATACATATATAAATAAAAAATTAAATTAATCTTAGACAAAAAACCCTAACAATACATTATTTAATATTTTTGCACGTATTCTTAATTATGAAATTAAATATATTAAAAATTATAAAAAATTATTATTTTTAATATAGGGTTAACAAAAACTTAAAAATAATGTGAAGTAAAGAAAAGAGTAATTAGTTGATTTCACCGAAAAGTACTTAAGAGTGGGTATTGACAAAATCAACTTATGCATGAATATTCAGATCAAATTCTAATATAAATTTATGGATTTTATTAATTTTAGTCCTTAAAGCTAAGTTTAAGTATCAAAAAAAAAAATATTACAAAAAAAAATACATAGTTATTATATTAAAGTTATAAAAATATAATAAATACTTATTTTTTTAATAAAATTTTATTATTATTAACAGTTGAAGTTAATAAAATCTTAAATTGATAGCACATTTTAGCTCTCTCTTCACTCTTTTTAACCTTTTCATGATTCATTCGCATCCAATTACGAGATCTCTACGAGCATATATATGTATATAGCGATTTATGATTTTTTTAAATAATTTATACTCTTAAGATAATTATAAATAATAAATATTTAAGAGTCACATTTTAATATCTTCATGAAAATTACGTTGCACTTTGTGCACGTTATCTATTGGCTGATCTGGTAAAGGGTCCATATGGACCCTAGTCATGGGATGGATTTGAGGTAATCAACACAATATTTTTATTATTAATTAAAAATTATAAAAATTTGTAATTTTTACTATTTTTTACTCTTAAATTAATATTTATTTATCATGTTTTATAATTTTTATTAAATTTTATCTAATAATAAAAAATATTAAATAATATATTGCTAGTATTCAATAGAACGAGTTCAGTAAAACGGGTTATTTAATCCGCTTAGCTCAATATAGATTTAGATTTTATTAGACTTTAAAATGAGTTTAAACTTGACTTAAGTTTATATTATATATCTATATTGACTAGACTAGTTCAGTATTGGATTAATTTGTAGATAAATTAAATTACAAACATTAAAATAAATTTAAACGTAAAATTTAGAATCTAAACTTAATGCTTTAATAAATTTATTCGTGCGAAATTAAATTATGTGAACTTGATCGGATTGGTCTATTTTATCATCTTTAAATATGTCAAAATCCAGTATCTAATATGGACCCCTTTTTTTTCTATAAAATACTTAATATGAACTTGACACTTGAGAATTATGTTAGAGCAACAACGTGTAATGAATTTGACGATTTTGCACAGTGGTGAGTTTTATTTTGCTGTACGCATATCAATAAATAAAATTAGATTATATGGTTTTTTGAAAATTTTAAAAATTCAATTTTGTTATATTATTATTTTAAAACATTTTATATATTATGTTAAATTAAATAGAATTAAAGTGATTTATTTTTACAAATTATTAAAATCTATAAAAATTCAAGATATAGTTAAGAATATAAATTTAAATTTAATATATAAAGATGGAAACTAATAGAGGTTGGTCTAAGTAACAAGCGACTCGATATCACTTAAACAAGTGATATATTCACCTACTACATTTAAATGCGTGACTCGGGTCACCTACAGATTAAACTGGATGAAAAATAATATATATATATATATATATATATAGTTATTTTATTTTTTCTAACACCTAACAATTATTATTTTGGTTTATAAACAAATTGTCATTAATTTAGTTTATTGATTATATAAATATTTGTTTAGTTTTTTTTTCAAATAGTATATAAAACTTTAATCTTTCAGCTGTTAAAAATACCACTTTTTTTTAATAATATAAACCTAATATATATTACTTTATGCAATCATAAAAATTACAAGATTTTAAGTCCCGGGTAATCTGATTATATGGTAAATAGTGTTTATTGTGGTTTATATAGATTAACTGGATGAGTGAATGATAGGATAACAAGGATAAAAAAAAGTATTAAACATTTTTTAATATTTACCGCACATGTTATATATTTAGGATTCAAATTTAAGAAACAATTACATGCTAATTAATTTACATGCTCGTCGATCTATTAATTTTATATTATATTAAAATATTAAAATCATTATTTTAATGAGACTATTTATTTTTCATTTAATGAAAATACTATAATTAACATTCTTAAATATACTTATTTAAAAATCATAAGTAATTTTTTTATTAAAAAAAAAAAGAAGATAACACGCCTAATTTTTAAACATAACTCCAATGTGATGTGTTTTTGCCAAAAATGTTTTTATTTAATAATTTTGCAATATGCACTCTTAAAACAGAACCTTTATTTATGGATGAAGTTTCAATATTTGTCTATAAGTGGTCAAACATGCCATTTTAACGAAAGTAGTACAACATGGCATAACGAATCATAATTAACCAATAATTAATGTCAATGAAGCATAAATACACATAAAACCATGCATAACCACACAAAATAGTAACTATTGATTCAGAGCGTTTCACTCCTATGCCACTCCGAACTCAATTTCACTCTAACCAAATCAATCTTTTAATCAATTCCACACGCATATAAATACACAGCCGACAAGGATACATTCCCACACACACGTATTCAGCTTGGTGTCCAATATCAACCAGAAGAGAAGAGAAAAAAGAATATAACTAAAATCCGAAAAAATGGGTTTAAAAAGCTCTTCTCTTCTGTGCCTAACAATGATCCTTGCATTGTCTTCAACCATTCACGGTTTAGACATCACAAAACTGTTAGGGCAATACCCAGAATTTTCACTGCTCAACAAATACCTCACTGATACCAAGCTTGCAGAACAAATTAACAGTCGTATCGGCGTCACAATCCTTGCCGTCGACGACCAAGCCCTTTCCTCTCTCTCAGGCGAGTCCCTAGAAACCATTAAGGCGATTCTGAGCTCAAACATTCTCGCTAACTACTACGATGAGAAGAAGCTCGTAGAAGCTCAAGGTGCCCACTCCAAAGTGGAAACGCTGTTCCAATCCTCAGGTCTGGCGAAGAATAACCAGGGTTACATATACGTTTACTTGGTTGGCGAGGGTGCAGTGGCGTTTGGTTCTGCCGTTAACGATGAACCTACCGATGTGGAGTTGATGGGAACCGTTATGACTCAACCCGAAACCGTTTCCATTATGCATATTACTAGACCCATTGTGGCACCTGGCATTAATGCACTGACAGCTGGCATTGGAAGTGTAAAGGTAACCAAATCTGCTGCCCAGTCTCCGGTTGCCGCCGAAGCACCTGGTTCTAACAGTGGCTCTGGTCGCGTTCATGTGGGTCTCGTTGGTGCTGTTTCTGCCTTAGCTTCCCTTGTGTCCATGTTTGTGTAAAATTAACTGTTTTATTACAGAGAGTGTGAGGAAGAGGAAGTGGATTAAACTTTATTATAGAATAATATAATCCACTCTTCTTTTATTCGTTTTATTATTTAATTTTTAACGTCACGTCTGTTTTTGTTACTGCATTATATTCATCATGTTCCCCCAATCTCCCTTGTGTATTGTTCAGTTTTAAGACAATATTTACAAGTTTATTAATTATATTGATAAAATAATTAATTAAATGAGTGTTGGAGTATGATGTGAATCAATTAATATTTAAGCGAGATAACAATAAATAAAGATGTTCTTTTATATTATAAAGTGATGAGTGTTTTAAAATAAATTAAAATATAAAACGAAAGAATAATTATTATGTTGATTAGTGTTTGGGAGTTGGAGATGCTTGTTTTCTATCACGATCGTTCTCTCTTTTTCTATATTGATTGCTGTAAATTTCAACCCTCTTTTGCCAAATTTCATCTTAATTTTATTCTTTATTGAATAAAGAAAAATTAAACACATTTTATATTTTTAAAATAGAATACTATTTAATCAGATTTGTAAACATATTGGTTAAGAAATTTAAAATAAAGATAAAAGTTATGAATTTTTTTAATTGTTTAACTCGATATTTTAAGATAATCATTGACAGAATCTATGTCTTAAAAAAAACTTTAATCATTATACTTTTATGTGTATCTTTCACGTGGCTTTCACTTTTCCATTATTTAATGAATATTATAAGAGAATATAAAACAGGCAAGTTTTTTTTTTTAATCTTATCTTATTTTTAGTATTGGTTTACTAATAATCTATGATAACTGTATTATATAAATTTATCATTATCCTGATTTTTATGTAAATTTTATTTTATGGAGAATTTAAGCTTCAAATAGACATAAATAAAACAGTATAATGCATCTCGTGTGTTGTTTTAAATTGTACTAAGTATAAAATAAAATAGAATTATCTTATCCTATTATATTATTGTAATCTATCTCTCTCACACACACACAAAACAAAAAAAAAACTATCTTATCATGTCTATTGAACCCCGAAGGCATTTGAGGAAGCAATTACATCATATAATTTTTTCTCTTTTTCTGATAATGTCATCTTAAATTCAACAATTAGGTTTATAAAAGCATACATTTAATTTTATTAAGTATTTTTAAAAACAGTTGCTTACAAATGCTTAATTTTAAATATTTATATGAAAAAATTAAATCAAAGCGAATAATATTAAATTTTGTGAAATTGTGTATCTCATAAAATACAATGACAAATTATCTCAATTTCAATAGTAAAAAATCTATTATAATTTTTTGTAGTGTATAAATGGCTTTCTATTTAGAAAAACTCAAAATATATTTTATAGACAATAACTTGTCCCTGAAATTTTGTCCAGACTAAAATTTATCTGTTACAAACAGCAAACCAAACACACTATTTTCTATTTTGCGTAGAAGAATTAAGGATATCGAATCTCTGCGCGATCTAAGAAATCAATTGCTTCAACTCATTTTGGCTATTATTTTTCTTAACAACACCACTGTGGCCAAGAACCAATGTCATCTTCATAGTATTTTGTGCACGATTGAGGGTGCTGTGCACGTGTCTCAGCGAGAACGACAATCGGTGATCCTTGTGCCTATGGTTTTTATAAAGAAATTTAGCCAACAATTCCGTAAGTTAATTCACATTTTGTTTAACTTTAGGGAATGTTTGGTTTTAAAAACACGTTTTTATTTTTTATTCTTAATTATAAAACTGTTATTTTCTTTTTATTATGTTTTTTATTTTAAAATATTTATACATAAATGTTGAAAACAAATTTTTTGTTTTTACTTTTTTATATGCAAATATTTAAAAATATAAAAAATAAAAATAAGGTAATAATTTTATAATTAAAAATAAAATAAAACAAATGTTGTAAGCGTCGACTCAATTAATCAATTTATATTTGGTTGAGTCGAGTAAATTTTTTTTTTTTATTAAAATCGACTCAATCTAACCCACTCTTACGAGAGAAATCTTTTATAAATAAAAAGTGCCTATCATCAATTAATTATTTTTTATAGCTTTTGTAAGAAAGTTGAATTTTATGGATGATTCCAATATTAATATTTGTCATAAAGACATGATCGATCTGATCCTTTAAACAGGTTTTGCTTTACTATTTCAATTTATCAAATTTGGAAGTTTAGGACCACCACTGAATCAGTCAAATTTAGCTATCTATGATTGTGAGATCGGCCATTTATATTAATGGAAGCCATATATAAATCCAACACTAACACTATCACCTTGATTGACACTCATATTGGAATAACCAAATCGCACAATATCGTATTTTTCTTTTAACAGAGACAATCAATTTACAAATAAGGTTGAATTCTAAATATTTTAATAATTATGATCCATCATTTTGTTGGGAATTGATTCTTTTAGTAAGTCTAACCTCATATATATACTATGCTTTGTTTCCAAAATAAATGTCATTTCCTAACTAGTCGTGAAAGTTCGGATCACGTATACTTAACTAATAAATTCTCTCTCTCTATATATTATAATTTTTTTAATATTTGCTAAATTATTTGCAAATTTAAAATAAATAATTTTTTTTTTATCATTACTGAATTTGCAATTATTCTTCATAATTAGAAATAATAGTTATTCCATGATAATTTTTTTGTCATTCTCATAATTTTTACTCATAATTACAACTCTCTTTAATAATTATTACTATCATTTCTTTCCTCTTCTCGCCGCCATGTGATTTTCATTACTCTTTTTAATATTATCATTACAGAATGTTGTTCCATTCCATTACTTTTTATTTTATTTTTGTTACTGTATTATTTTATTTTTATTGTTATTAAGAGTTTTGTTGAGAATAAAAAGTTAATAATAACAAAATTCTATTAGAAAGAGAAATATTTATTGTATTTTTATAACTTTAATACAATATATATGTATTTTTTCATAAAAATTTTCTATTTGTAGATGTTTGAACTCATAAGATTAACAAAATTCTTGTTATTAATGTTATTGATATAATTATTACTTTGACCACTATTATTGTCATACTCATTTAAATATTTAATATTACAATTTTCACAACTCTATCTTACTATAATCACAATCAAAATCTACGCATTATAAACTTTCCTATTATCACTATTCTTATTACTCGTTACTGATTATTCAACTACAGTTTTAATTAATTTTGTCATTGTTTATCTATTGCTATTGTGAATATTTCCTTTCACCATTTTTATCATTGTTGTTATTTCTTTTCTCATTACTATTATTATTATTATTATTATCCAGTCATGCAAAACTTTTACATAATTATTATCTTTTATTTTTTAATTAAAAAATATCAACACTTACAAAAATAACTATATATTATAATTTTATATTTTATTTTTAAATTTTCCATGTATATTAACAATTAGTTAAATCAACGACTCATTATTAAATAATTAAATATATTCTCTCACATTGAAAAATTGTGTGTTTTGTAATTTGTTAATATGAATCTTATAATAAAATAAAATACACAATAATTAATAAATGTATCTAAAAATAGTCTAATTTATTATAATTAAGACAAAAAATATTATTTTTTTTACCATTAGTGTCGAACAAAAACATATAAAAATAATTATATTATTTACATATATAACTATTTATTAAGTTAATTAGTATGCCTAAAATATTAGATAAAATACAAATTTATTATATTCATACATATATATATTTCACACTTTAATTATATTTATCTTTATCTTATTTTAACTGCTAAACGGTACGCGATTTTACTTAAGCCGAATAAAAAAAAATTTCGGAAACGTCGATTAAGTTTGGCAATTAAGGACACGACAATAAAATATAAACAAACATCCAAAGAGAATTAATGACGGATTTGACAACAGTGTGCTTAGAACTTTTCCCATTGTCGGGGAGGACCATCAAGCCCACGTGATGCCATGTGGATTGTGGGCAACACAATTTTTAAGCAATAAAGAGTTTCTTTGCGTCGTCTTGAGGGCTTTTAGTAGGTCGACAATGATAAATGAAAACCCTTTGTGATGGATTGAAATTTGAGGGTGCTTCTGAAGGGTCTTTGATGTCAAAGCTATGTATCTCAGTGGTGATAGAAAATTTTAAGGATGAGAACAAAGTAGTTAATAAACATATTTTTTAATGCATTGTGCATATACCTCGAGGGATTAAAATAAAAAAGATGATGAAGAATATATAATAAGTGTGACATCATAAAAATATTTGAAATCCTAAAATTCAAGCTTAGGTCCACTTAGAATATCGCATTTCTCTCCCTACTTATTATAAATTAAAACCTTTAGTATATGATATTTTAACGTTTTTAAAATCATTTAAAAGTTATCACATATTTTACTTAGTGTATTTAAATTGACGTATTTTATGAACCATATAGAATTAACCTGTTTTATTTTACTAAAATATTTTAATCAAAGTGTTTGAGAATTTTTTTTATTTAATTATCAAAATAAATCATGATATCATCATCTCACAGCTCATATAAAAAGTCTTCCTCTTGCTTCTTAAGTGTCAATCTAATTTTGTTTTGTATGTAATATATATATATATATATATATATATATATATATATATATATATATATATATAACAGGTGATTTGTTCTCCAAAATTATAACAGTAAGTTTAATCTTGATCAGAAGACAAACATTATATGGCTTCCTAATAACAACCGTACGTGCTTAATTAACATCATAAATAATGCTATAAAAAATCCCATATTGTCAGCTAATAGCTACATATATACCTTCTTAATTACGCCAAAAAGAAGGATTGTTTGCTATTTAAATATGTTTGGAAGAGTGTTTTAAAAAGATAAGAAAGGAGAAAATACATTTGAACACACATCCAAAGACACATAATAGAAAATAAAAAATATAATTTTATTAAAAAAATATATAATTTAATGTTACTTTTACATTAGATCTTATGACATCCAATTAATTTTTAATATATATGAATTTTTATTATGTATCATTAACTAACTATCAAAAACAAGAATATACTACTTCTGTTTCAATTTATATTTTTATATAAAAATTCAAAACAATATCAATGGTTATACTTTCACCAATTCCCTGTAATGTATATTATGAGTTTTTGAAAATAACTTAATTATATCTGGTCTGGTAAAATAGACCACTTTTTCTGAGCCGCAAAATCCAATGTAGGATATTTGACTAGTGGTTAAAAAGTGTCCAATATTTAGTCACATTGATAGTACCCAAAATGAAAAAGAGAGAGGAATGAGAGAGCAGCCTTTATCAGCCTGCCTTCAACATATAATGACGCTGGAACTTACACCCTCCCCCTACCTTCTTCACGTGGACATCTCGTGATGTAAGTGGGAGCAACTCTATCATTCATTGACTTTGTAATTATTATATATTGGTATTCGACAACATTAACTTCTTTTTTAATGTATATAGTTGTTCTTTGTAACTTAATACGTAATGTGTATCACTTTTTATCAGTTACTTCAATTGTTTTTTCAGCGTTATGCAGTTTAAATGATACACACTTGATGATAAAAAAATATTTTGAGCATTCCTAATCATTTCTCATATATATAAAAGCAATGTCAATGCACTCTTTTGGCAGATTAATTTTCTCTAACGCACTATTGTTTAAAATTTTAATGCAATTTTTGTGAATTAAAAGTATATTAAATAATATGTCATTAACATTTCTCGTGTCATTAATATTGTTTCTTTGTTTTTTATTCCCATACTTGTCAATTTAACTTCTAATTATTTCACACTATTTTCTACACTAGTTTTTATATCCAGTGAAAAAAAATATCCTTTTACTGAATTTTCTCTCTCTCCATGTGTCAATTGATTTAACATTTATATAAAGGAGTAAAATGTTAAAAGAAAAAACGTGAAACAAATATTTTTCTATTCATATGCATGATCAGTCCCACGTTAAAATTTAATGACATAGAGGCCCACAAGAAAAGAAAAAAATTGAAAGAGTTGTTTATAGTTATACGTCGGGGCAAAGTAGCCCTGGAGACATAAGCTTGGAGAATTTTGTCAAGTTAAGAAATACCTTTGATTTATAAACACTCCAATAATATTAATATTATTTTTTTATTTTTTTATCCCATTACATTATTTAATATCTTTAATATTTTTTTTATTCCTATCTCTCCCAAAATATAGACGATCCTCAAGGCATCTACTAAATATTTTCATAATGAAAAGAGGGGATGCCTTATTCTGACCCTACTTAAGAGTTTCTTCCAAGAATAGAGTATTTCCTCGTTTTAATATTTGTCTCTTTTCTCACATATATATACCTTCCCACCTTTGCTTTCCTTCACAATAAACCAAAACCCCTTCTGTTTTCTCTTCTTTTTTGCTCTCTATACAGCAAGGAAAATAATCCAAATTAAAAGACGGTATGGTATAGCTAGGAAAACCAAAGAAAGAAGGACCAATAAAAATGTCCGGGGTTTGGGTATTCAATAATAATGGTGGGTTTCGGTTAGTGGAAAACCCTCAAGGTGAGGGGAAAGCATGTAGTTTAAAGAAAAAGGTGTTGGTTCACTTGCCAAGTGGGGAAGTGGTTTCTTCCTATAGTTCTTTGGAGCAAATCTTGACTAGTTTAGGGTGGGAGAGGTACTATGGGACTGATCCACAACTCTACCAATTCCACAAGCATTCTTCCACTGACCTAATCTCTCTTCCAAAGGACTTCTCCAAGTTCAATTCAATCTATATGTACGATATAGTCATCAAGAACCCCAATATCTTCCACGTGCGGGATATGTGAGGCTTTATTCATTGTTGCATGCTTTTCAGCCAGCTCCTAGCCTGTATATAGCTTAGCTTGCCTTTGATTCTTCTAGATTAAGATGTTTCTTTCTTTTATTGTTTTTCTGATCTTGTGGTTTGGTTTATTTTATTTTATTGTGGATGTGGTTCTCTTGTTCTATATCGTGGAGAATCTTGCAAGATGTTAGGTTGGTTTGTTTACAATTGTTTTCGGTGTTTTCAAGGAATAATTTAATTAGTTAGATGTGACAATATTTTGTGCATGAAAAGTAGTCGGCAGACACCAAAAAGAGTGTATTGTGAGAGATAGAAAGGGAAGAACAAAAAATGAAAATAACAAGTGATGTGATGCGATTGAAAAAAAGAAAAATTAAACAAATATTGAATTAAAAATTGCCTTGAAGATTTCTAATAACACTTTATGCCTTTCATATATTTACTTCGGGTACAAATTAAGTTTTGAGTCTTTATTTTCTTAAGTGTTTTTTTGTTCCTTTTTAATTTTTTGTCATGTAAGTATGCTAGGGTTACTTTCCACTTTCCAGGGTAGGGAAAGGCCAATTCAGCACAAACATACTGTGATCTCTCTTGATTGGTATGGAAAACGGTATGTTGTATTTTAAAAAGAAAAAAAAAACCACATATTTTGTCTTCAGAATTATGACAGTTTTAAATTTACATACAAAATTTAATTACTTACTTTTAGTCTCTAAAAATCAATTCAGGGAAAAAGTAACAGAAACAATGTGTTATATCCAGAAATATAAATAGTTTTGTCTTCTGAAATGTGACCTTTTTAAATTTTTATAATTTTTTTAGTGTCTAAAAATTACAAATATCGTGTGTTTTGAGGTGATTCAAAGAGTTCTTAACTTAAAAATTAATGATCATTGTGTGGTTATTTCAATATTTATTTCTTTTTAGTAACTGACCAAACTAAGGTAATCCCTTTATGATATTAAGCAAACCAAGTTGTTTCCAAAATTTGTACATTAACGAAAGATAAAGATATTTAACATGGGTGAGTAACCTGTTTATATATGTTCCGTTAAACGAGTATATTAAGAAGGATTGATTGTAGGTTTATATAATTTAGGTTGGAAGTTATTGAATTAAACGTTCAAATAAAATCGTTTACACTCAACATGTAAAGCAAATTAATTACACTCGAATTTAAATATATGAGTTATATCAATGTCAATCAATTTAATCAGCAAAGAGTTAAGTTTTGTTTTTAAAAATAAATTTAAGTCTTATGAATTAAAAAATTAATGGTTAACAAAATTTAATCTTTTACATAAATTCATCTAGCTATATATATATATATGATATTAAATTTATTAAAATAATATTTTATTATTTTATTTTTAAAAATAAAATTTAATTTTCAAGGTATAAGAGGGCAAAGAAGATGGTGGGGCCTCACGTGAGGCGGATTACCCACTGTTACTATCATACAGGGTTGCGCCACGTCTGCGTGAGTCATTTGGGAAAACGAAATTAAGCTACTTTCTTTTCTTCGCATTATTCTAAACCTCACCAAGAATGACAAGGAAAATGTTATTATCAATATATTAAAATAAAATTAACAATTTTTTATATGATAAATAATTTATAAATAAGCAGAGACAATTTTTGTACATTTAAGATATTATTATTTTGGTAACACTATCCTCTATTAGTAACATTAATATATACTTAGAAAACCAATGCAGTAAACTTTAAGAAACAGTTATTTCATTTTATATCTCATTAAATAAAACTAGGAATCATAATTTTTGTTAAATTTATAGCCATCAGAGTGGTTTGTGACCCATAGTCAATCCCATTCAACTCAACTTACAAGAGGATTTTAAAAATTTAGCTACGACCTCGGGTTAATTTGACCCTGTTTGTTTTTAACTTGCAAGTTAGTATAATTCAGCATAACATGTTAAAGTGTCGAAAATATATCTATTGATCCAGAAAAAAATAAAATATTAATATTTTTAGAATTTTTTAAAAATGTTAAATAATGTAATTTTTTTAGGTAATTTACGACGAAATAGTTTAATATTATATATATTGATATAAATCAAAATTGTATATAATTATAATTAAACGATTCGATTAAGATTATTTTTAAAATTTAATGATAATCATTTTAATTTTAAAAACTAAATTACGAAACAGTAATATGATGTCAAATTATTAATGTGGTGTATTATTCTTTTTTCTTATAAAGGAATTTGGTTTACTATTCAAAGTTTCTAACCATTCAAATGTACAAATTGACAAGGGCATTCACGTCATTGGGCTGAATGTACGGCAAAAACCTCGACTACGTTTCTTTCTCTCTCAAACGTGTGTGAGCGAGCAACCATTGGAACTTGGAAAGAAAATAGAGTTGATAGCACCAATTCCCAAACCTTACACTTCAACAACTGCAATCTACATTGGCACGCACCTAACCTAAGATCGAATCAGTCCGTGTCACTTCCACTCAACTCACCCACCAATCTCCATTTCCGTACCCATTTTCCTACCGATTTATCCTCTATCAAGTGAGCTTTTATCTCTTCTCATTTCTGCTTCCAATTTTACTTGGATTGGGGTGTTCGATTCCACTCCTAACACGCAATTAAATTTCCGCTGCGATTTTATTTATTTATGTCATAATTTTATAATTTATCGGTAACACTCGTTGTTTCGGACTGGTCAACTTTGTTATTGATGTGCAAAATAGTAATGATCGGGTTGTTTTTTCAATATAAAATAATATTGTTGATTAGGGGATGTTATGTTGATCTGATTGGTTTATTTGGAATGCCAACTTTGTTATCCATTTATCTATTATTGTAACATGGTGGTGATACTGCGTATTCTTATTGGTATTTTTTTCTAAAATTTCAGAAGTGTGTGATATGTCTGTGGTTTAGTTAACTTGATGTGCTCTAGATTGGATTGTGTCGGTAAATCTGTTTCTTTGTTATTCAGACAGTATCAGATTGCCTGTCGACGTTATTTTCATCTGAATTTTGAGTTTGGACTGATTTATTTCCTAGAAATAGTCTCTCTGCTTGTGGGGATAAGGCTCTGTGTTGTGAATCAACCTTCACATCCCCCGACACGTAGTATGTATGAGCCTTGTGCATTGGGCCACCTTGTGTTGATAGATAACAGTCCTTTGTATAAAAAAAATGCAAATTCTCGGTCGAGTGATCATATGAGAATAGTGTGTCTATTTGGTTTAGGGGAGGGGAAGGGAACAGAGGGGCTCTCTTTGTTTAGTTTGTTAGGAGAGGAGAGGAAAAAATGGATTGGGAGAGACTCCTTACTTTCTCTTCCTTGCATTATCAATTATCAAATACTATGTTAGTGTTACAAATAAAAGTTATCCCCCAACCCCACCACACACACACATTGAAATTTGTAGTTATGTTTACCATATACTTTGGACAGTTCTAAGTTGGATTTTGAGTCTTGGTCTTCTTTTCTTAGGTTTGATCTAAATTCCTAGACACAATTTGCTAGTTAGGTTACCATGTTTGCGTCAACATGATCTGATAATAGTATAAGGATTATGCCATATACTAATACACTCTGTTGATTATTTACTTATTTGATATAAGTGGCCTGTGCTTGGTTCAGACTTTGTGAGTGTAGTTCAACTCATAGTAAGCAGCATGGAGGATATTCTGTTGGATACTAATTGGGAAGATGTAATCTGCCCCATATGCTTGGAATGTCCTCATAATAGTGTGCTCCTTCAATGTTCGTCTTATGATAAGGGGTGCCGTCCTTTTTTATGTGACACAAATCAATTGCACTCAAATTGTTTGGATCGTTTTAAAAACACATGCACAATGCCACCCTCTTCAATCTATGATGCAACTTCCATAGAAAATAGTGAGCCAGTGGTATCTGATTGTCAATACAAGCTGAGTTGTCCCTTGTGCAGAGGTGATGTTTCTGGGTGGATAGTTGTTGATATAGCTCGTGTGCATCTTGACAAGAGGAAGCGTTGTTGTGATGAGGAACTATGTGAATTTATGGGAAGTTACTCTGAGCTACAAAAGCATGCTCAACAGGAACACCCTCATGCTCGTCCGTCAAAAATTGATCCTGCCCGACAGCTTGATTGGGAAAATTTTCAGCAGTCCTCTGAGATCATAGATGTTTTGAGCACAATTCATTCAGAAATTCCACGGGGGGTGGTTTTGGGAGATTATGTGATTGAATATGGGGATGATGATACTGGAGATGAGTTTGAGGATTTCCCTGGAGATGAAGGTAACTGGTGGACATCTTGTATATTGTATCATGCCTTCAATAATTTCAGAAGTTCCAGAAACCGAAGAAGAACAACAGTTGGTGATACCAGCAGAGGTAGTCGCCGACTAAGTTTTGATACTTCTAATTCTGATGAAGGTTCTGTAGCATCTGTAGAGTATGCCGAGTATAGGCTAGATGAGACCTATGATGACGAGTTTGTTGGTGCAATTGGCTCCTCGAGGGGTAGCAGCGGTTTTCGCAGGTGAGTGGTACATTGTCTCATTTATTTATTAATCAACAATTTGATATATGTTGTTATAGATGTATTTCACAATGCCAAATTTTAGTTACGTACTTGCTATTATATTTTCAGATAATGGTAGGCTCTTTCTATTTTGTGTCTGCTTGGAAAATTTAATGAATAATTTATGGAAAACATGGCTCCCGTGAGTGTTAAATCTAGTACCCAAAAAGCTTTTTAGTATAACTTGTCAAAATAAGCTATTTTCAGCTTCTTCCTATAAGTTTCATCATTAAATTTATGGTTTAAGCTATCTTTTAGAAAGAGCTTATTGAATAAATGCTTAATTAAACACGATTCCCAAACACACCCTTTGGTTTTTCTTTTGGAATGTTGGTCTTAAAAGCTGGCCATCAAAAGATAGCTACTTTCAATGGCCGAGGACAAGATTTCAATTGAATTTGAGTGATTGCATAATAACGTTTTTCCAGAATTCAATGTGATTTGACAATCAATATTGAGAATGACTGGGTGTATTTGGGAGTTACGAGGGGTATTTACTCTTTAATTTGGTTTTATTAAATATAAAGACATTTGTTGTGCTCAAGTAATATCATTATATTTCAATATTTTTAATCATGCTTACTTGCTGGCTTATTCACACAGATCGCGGAGACGTGGTTCTCGCTTCAATGACAACTAGGTGTGTTATCCTCACAAATAACTTCCTTCTCCTTTCTGTTATTGTACCAAGTTCCTGATGACTTTAAAACAAGCTGCTGATAATAGTATATTTCTTTCTGTTGTGAAATGAAGCAGTGGTGGGGCACTGCCGCACTGGTATGATGGGCCTTTTGTTTCATTCCCTTTAATATGCATATTAAAGGAAGCTGAATGAGAGGAAGAGATGAATGCTGGTGTCACGACACTCAACTCAAAAGGCGTCATTTTTTTATCTATATTGCATTTGCAATGAGATGAGCTGCTGGATCAATTCACAAAATTGACAGTTAAATATGGTTCATACTCATAGTTCCCATTATGCTTTCCTTTAAATCTCATTTGATTATTAAATATAAATGAAGAAAGTATGCTAGCCATTGGAAGCCTCTTAATTTACTCGTGCGACCAACGTAATTCGGCTAGCATTCTGCTCTGCTTCATTGTTGGACAATGAATGACTTCATCTTCTTTCTCCTGTACATATAGTTATAGTTAGTTGTGATGGGTCAGATTCACTATTAAGGTGGGGATATTTCTAAATCAATTGAAATTTTTTTTAGTTTTTTCGTCCCCTTCATTCATGGCCCGCCCAACTATTATTACAGTTTATCTCATAAATAGATAAACCAAAATATTATTTCTACCATTCATTTTTGTATCCATCGTTAAGAATACGTTTGATAAAGTCCACCAACTCCAAGGGAAAATTACAGGGAGGATTGTATAATAACCTTGTTATTTGTCCTTTAGGAGAAAAATGCTTTTTGTGGTTGCACGCTAGTGTGAAAAAATCCCCGGTTCGTGGAAAACATTTTAACTGAATTTAGAATTTAGGTAGAATCAGTACAAATTAAACTTCACCAAGAAATTTTTATGATTAAAATGTGTCAATAGCCTATTTTATGAATGTTAGAACCATAAAACAGTTGAGGACGAAGGAGACGTGAGAAAGAAAAATACTAAGATGAATTTATATTAAAAGTAAATAAAAATGATATATTTAGATGTATTATATTTTATTTTTAAAAACAGAAAATTGTTTTTATAAAGAAAAATAAATATGTTCTTAGTTTTAAATATTAACAGGTTAACATTATATAACCTATTAATGGATTAAATCACTTTAAGATTTTATAGGGGAGTAAGTTTAAGTTTTTGTTTTACATAATTCTTAAAATATTTAAAAATGTTTTCTTAAAAGGTTTTATGGAAATTATGTCATTTTTGTTTTTTCAATAATTATGACTTTTTAAATTTTTAAAAGTAACTGTAATTATAATATTTTTAGAAATTTCTCAAAATACTTTATCAAAATAATAGACGATTAAATTTTCTTTCCAAATTTTGTTGTTTTATAACTTAAACAGAGAATTTAAATGTGATTTTTAACTAAGAAATTAAAATAACCAAATTCATATTTACATCACCGATCAAAGCGTACGCAAGCAAATGATTATTGAGGCTTCCTTTATGAATCGACATGGTGCTTTGAACTTCAACGGCTAAGCACAAGGCCTGCAAAGTGAAATTCAAGCGCATTACAGTAGAATTACACGATGAATCATAATAATTTTTTTATGTATGAAATTCGAATAAATTAAGGATCTTTTTAAGTTTGTTCTATTTCAATGTATTCTGTAGCATTTATTATCAAAATATTTTACATCTTGTCATTTATTCATTTTTTATCATTTTTAATATTACTAGTTTACATTTATCTGATCGTTTCATATTTGTAAATTTAAATTTTAACACACTAAATTAAATTATAGTTAATTTAAATATTTTTTACTCTTTAAATTTTAAAAGCCTCATCTTTTATCTTAATTTCATATTAAAAAGGAATAACTTTTTTACAATAAAGATATATTTGTTATTCTTTTTAATGCATATGATTTGTTGTTATCTAATAGTTGTAACATATATCTTTATTTTGAATTGTATTCATGTTAATGTAATGCACAGAAAATTCAGTAATTTCTTTAATAAGAAGGCATCATGCAGAACTGTGTTGTATTATCATAAAAAAAAATTAATCCAAAAGATTTTAAAAGACAAAAAGAGGGTGTATATGTACGTTAGTGAGAATATATTTTAAAGAACACTGAAGAATTTTTGCTGGCCCACAGCTTCTGATAAAAACAAATATTAAAATGAAGAAAAATAAAAGAACGCAATAAACTGAAGATAACCGCTACAACAATCAAATTCTGCGGCTGCTTCTGGGAGAAGAGGTTATGAAGCAGAGTTTAGCAGAAGAGTGTTGAGCAACAAAAGAACACTCGAAGCACTTCTTCAACGAAGCAAAAGCAGCGTTTGAACTCGAATCTCGGTTTGTGGTTGGTTTGCTCTGCTTCCATGGCTTCCATTTCCGAATCTCGATCCGGCGGCAAAATGGTTCGAACCCGCCGAACATCCAGGACCCGCACTCCCTACGACCGACCCGCTCCAACTCAACCTCAAAGCCCTAATTGGCTCTCGCGTTTCGTTGTCTCTCCCACGCTTTTCATCGCTTCCGGTGCCGGAAAACTATTCTCCTCTGTTCTGGATCTCGATTCTGCTCCAACTTCATCCTCCTCCGCTTCTTCTTCTTCTTCTGATGATGATGATTCTGCTCCTGGTAATGTGTATTATTTAATATGTACTCGCTTTTGTTACCGTTGTGCTGTTGTACCTCTAATCCTAGGGTTTTTTTTTTTTTTGGTTTTAAATTCCTTAATTCAGGAATTTTTTGATTTTGACTGTGTGGACTGGAGTGACTGAGCTTCTGTGTGCTGACTTTAGTTGTAGTTGGTCTTAGGTTTGGTAGATCTAATAGTTGAGGTCGGTACCTTGTTATTATGGCGTTTTTAAAGTACTTAATTGGATTTGGAATAGATAAAATTGGACCAGTGTTTTAAATATAACTATATGCCATGGTCATGTTTTGTTTAATTAAAAAAACTTAGCAAGTATGTCTTTTGGTCTCGGGCTATGCTATCCCCTTCTAAAAAATGTTCTTACTGTCCAATTTTGCAGAGGTTGGCACTTTTGATGATGCAAATGATAGCCCTGTTGAAGGTGATGTTGCGTTGAACAAGGTAATTGACTTTCTGTTATGTTGTACTTTGCTTGAGATTTAGTGCTTATATTGTTTGTTCTAGAAGCTAGTTCTTCTTGGTATCTGTGATGAAAGTGTATGACATCAGGACTGATCAGTTTTCTCTGTGAAGGGGCTCCAGCCATCTGTTGGGAAGAGCAAAAACAAGCAAATAATTGAGCAGCTACTTATGGAGGAGTCATTCTCAAGGTAATGAAGAATTTATATTTATTGTTAGTTTAACATATGGATATTTCTGTTGTTGTTTCTTACTGTTTTCACCCTCACTTTAACATATATTAATTTGTTGAGAGGTTGCTTGATCTGCCTCTTCCGTAAACAATGTAATTTCATTAATACTAGCCTGTGGTTAAATAAAGAGACACTTAATAAGTGCAGCTTGTTTTAGGGCAATCTTTTATGTTTTATAAAATTTAATTCAAAATTAGCAGCAATCATAGCCTCTAATATAATTCTATTACATATTTATCTACTTGTATACCATCCAGAATCCCTGATGCTAATGATCATATCGTAGAAGACATTTTTGCCATTGGTCAACTTTTCAGTTTATAGCAAGACTTGATGTCATTGTTTGACTTCAAAATGTCTTACCTAAACTTGGTGGCTTAAAAAAAAAAAGCATTAACCTGGGCCAGGCCAGGAAACTTATCATGTAAAGTTCGCTATGCAACATATATCAATGATAGATTTGACTCCTCTAAAGTGAGAGATGCACTTTAGAAGGTAAAGTAAGAAATTATAACCGTTTCAATTAATGGTTCAGATTGTGATAAAATACATGCTATGCATAACAGATTATGAAGTTGTTAAAGTTTCAATAGTTGATTTTTTGCTATCAGTGGATATATGACACTTTACCTTCCTAAGTGAACCCTTCACTTTACAGTAGTCAAATACATCAATGATCTGTACTAAAATTTGTGGAGCTTGATCTATATGCAGTGTGTAAGCTATAGGGAGTGGAACTGCATTTGTAGATGCATAAACTGTATCCTCTAGTTGTTCAGATAAGATTCTAATAGAGCTTAATATTTGAACAGGGAAGAATGTGATAAGTTGATAAAAATAATAAGATCAAGAGTTGTAGATCCTGCAAATGATGGTGATGGGTTTAAGAGGCCAATGGATATACCAAACAGGACTCTTGGAAGTGGTATTCTCTATTTACAAAATTCAATTTTAACAGATTACTGTTACCTGACCATGGATTTTAAAATATTTCTTAGAGACAGATTCACCTGAGCTCTGTAGTGCTGCTGTTATGGAGGCAAAGAAATGGCTGCAGGAAAAGAAGTCAGGATTAGATTCAATTTCAGATATAGGTTATGGAAGTCCTAGTTTGAATTTGATTACATTACCACAAGTTAGTGACTTTCTTTCTCTCAGAGTTTGTGGAAAAACATATATATATACATATATATATATATATATATATATATCTCATGGTAATATGATTTCAAATTAACTGTTTGTTATTACCTGCATACCTGAATGATATGCAGACTCCCAAAGATGAGGGATCACCAGTGGATGTGGCTAAGTCATATATGCGCTCACGCCCTCCATGGGCATCACCCTCCATAGACCATACTAAACCTCCAACACCGCCAGGAATTCAGCTTTTTAAAGAAGAAACACCGCATCTATTTGGTGACAATTCTCTATCATCCTCCAAGGTGCCATTTAATGTGTTATTTTTTATTTGGAAATTGATTGTGTGTGTATATAGCTGATTTTGTCTTCTAACTGGGAATTTTTACCTATATGTCATTGACTTATTTACTGGAAAATTTATGAAGAGAATTGGGTCATACATTTTGAACTGACATTGATGTCATGGGGTACAGTTACCCCAGAAAATTTGTTACAGAAATTCATGAACTTAAAATCGTGAAAACCAATAGAGGTAAATTATGTATGAGGGAGTATCAAGAATGTCAGTTGGGTTGAAATGATAAAATTTAGTGTTTAATTTCACTGGAGTTATTTTGCACTATAATATTCTCCTAAGTTTTATGGGAAGGGGATAGATTTTATGGGTCCCATCTCTACTACCTCTCCTAATTTCACCTTTCTTAACCCCTCCCCCCCAGCTGCCCTGTGGGTGCTTGATGTTATCAGTTGCAGCTTGGTACTGTTAGCATTTGTTGAATTGAAGATAAGAAGTTGATGCTGCAAAGTTCTTGATGTTTATTATAAAAGATAGTGAAATGCTCCTTGGTATTGTTATGCATATATGCAAGATTTCTTCGATCCAAATATTCTTTTATTATTATTATTATTGTTTTTTTTTTTTTTTTGGAAGATAGATTTGGGAAGGGGGTAGGCAGAGTCAGTAGGCTATTAGGAGAAGAAAGAGATTTGTGGAAGTGCAAATTTGATGTTTAGGTGGTTGCTTGTATAAAAAATACACAAATAGTACGATAAAGGGTTGGGAAGGATTCATCAGAAGGTTGAGTTGGAGCGAAAAAAAACCTTTTGTATTAGCATTGGATCTATAGAGTTGACTGGCAAGTGATGGCAAAGTGGAAAAAGGTGACCTAAAATTAAGGTCGTACAAGATAGTTAACCAATGGCATGGGGCTTTAACCATGCTATGTGCATTTAATTAATCCAATCCATTGGCCTGCCTCAAAGCAGATAAAGCATTGCTAGTTATTGATTGATATGACTTCTATTGCCAAAAATAAGAATTTTTTAGCAATAAACTAAAAGTCATGTAGAAATTTAAGAAAAATATTATTTTGAAATTCTCATGATTCAACTTTAGCAAACAACCTGAGTGAGGAGATTTGTTCTACTAGAAAGTCTATGATTGTTACCAGGTAAAAGCCAAAGACTCAATGTTTTCCTCTTTCAACAGTTAGCTGTCTTAATTATTAATATAGTACAAGAAGATGAATTATGTGCTGTATCTTAGTAGAATTTATCATGTTCTTGAGTGTATCGAGGAAGCTAGATGAGTTTCTTCTGTCAATCATAGCTGGGTTGTCATTTGGGTTGATTGAGTTACAGAATTCAAATGTTCTGTTTATGGATTGTTTTGTTTGTGCTGATACTGAAATGCAGTTGAAAAGGGATTCTCCTGCTACTGGGTCATGGAGTATTCAAGACGAAATACGAAGAGTAAGATACAGGGCAACAGAGGAGATGCTTAGTTCTCTTCCCTCCTCAAAAATTGATTGGTCTGCATTTACTGTGGAGCATAAAAATAATGTAAACTCTTCAGCTATTGAAAATATTGGAGCTAGTTGGGTAGATAGAGTGCATAACTCTACAGATTTAGTAGATGCATCGGCAAACTTGTCCAAAGGATTAGGTTCTCAGGCCTCTCCAGGTATGATTCTACTGCTGTAAGAAACCTGTTGGTTTGATCTGGTAATCAGTTGTTTTAATGGTAAAATATATCTATTTCTTAAAACGTATTGAAGCTCTTGGTGCTTTACGCATTTAACTTCCTTTCTCTTCGGATTCAGAAAGTAAACAGGACGATGGTTTCCAACCTGAAGCTATGCTGTCTGATTCAGCTAATATTAATTTGGAACAGAATCAGGTGCTTATTTGAAGTAGAGTTTACATAACATCCCCTCCTTGAAATACATTCAAGATTTTTTAAGGATCTTCCCTATTTTATGTCTTAATATTTAATCTTTTTTTCATTCCTTAACCAGGGTTCTGTTGCTGTTCAGCAAACCACAGGTAACCCTACTGCCTAAGTATGACAGTATTCCTAATATGTTTAGAAACAAAACCATTTGTTAGTCATCAATGCTTTAGCTTTTGTAATATTCTGGAGAATTTTGAATTTGCAGTTTGACATAGACATTGTTCACCGCAAATCATTTTTATTTTAGAGCTGAGAAATATAATTTAACTACTACATATGTATAATTCCATTGTTTTTTCTGTTGGGACGACCTGACTGGCAGATAAAATGCTTTTTCATGTACATTAGTTTTATTCCATCTCATCTCTCGGTAGAAGTCTTACTTTGCTTATGAAAATCCATGCCACACAGGTACACAAGATGACAACAGAGAAATAACTACTTCAGGACTAAGAGATGGGTCCTCTGATGATCTGCACAGGTTAGAGTAGTGCTATCATGTTGTCATTTCTTTTTGACAAAGTGTTGTGGGTCTATATCATCAGGTTAAGTGTTTTCTCATTTACTTTCTGATATTACCTTATTCTCCCTTCCCACCACAACTTTACCTTAATACGATGCATCTAAGGTCCTTGAGACTCTGTAGTTTGATCTGTTGTGCTACTATATTTGAAACTGTCAACTCCCCTGACTTAAGGTCTTTGGAGTTCCAGTATTTGGTTGTTGTCATTGCACTTTCTCATGGGTGACCAACAGAATAAAGTTGGAACTCTAGACACCAAAATGTGCTGGACTGACACAACGGTTAAAAATTATGTGTTGAGTAATTCTATGTTAATGTGTATGATTACCAATTGTCTCATGTACAGAGAGGTCTGGTCAGGCTTTTTTCTAGGAATTCTGGCCCTGTTAGGTCATATTATTTGTCCTAATTTTATCATTTTTCTGAATGTAATAGGGATGGTGATCTGGTTAAAGTCAATGGCATCAATGACACAAATGGGTCTGATCATCAGCTAGACTCAGTTGAAGAAAGTAGAGAAGGTATTAATCAGTCCCTTTGGCTTCCTTGTGATTAAAAGACACACCTAGAAAATGTATTGTGCTATTTGCAACTTGTGTGTCATGGTTGTTAATAAATGCCATTATGAGATTCTATAGGGTAAGTGGTGCACCACGGGCCATTGCACTATGCTAAATGTTTAGTTTTGTGACCTTGAAATCAATGGTATCTTCTCATAACGATTGAATCTATCAGTGAAGCTAAGAAAAGATTGTGCAGTGTATGTGGTTTTTCTGTTTGGTCTGGCTGAAAATTGAGTACATACAACTCCCGTTTTAGATACACCAAATTATGAGCATTAGTCAATTTAGTCCATCAAATTATCAAATGACAGTTATTTTAGTCCTTGGCATTATCAAACAACAGTTGTTTTAGGCTTTGAAATTACAAATGTAAGGATGAATAATTGACATTTGTTAAATTCAAGAACCAACATGGTTTTTTTTGTAATTTAAGGAGAAAATTGATCATTGCTCATAATTTTAGGAACTAATTCGTGTATTGCTTTTTTTTATATATTATGTAATAGTGTGCATTTTGTATTTGCTGTAGTTCTATATATTGCTGCAAGTGTGCTATTTGATTTTAAAAATTATGTATGTAGTATTAACTTCCTTAAGTTTTTCACTATTTCTTCATGTTCATATTCTTTCCTTTTGGATATAGAGTTAATTAAACCTTTGTTCACTTATTGCAATTCAGTTTTTGTCTGGGTTCTTGCTTCAGCTATGGTATAATTTTCGCATTTTGTGAGAAATATGATTGGTTCCAATTCTAATGTTCCTTGGTCAAACATGTTATGCATTTTTCCAAGGATCTGTTTATATAGATCAGGATGTTTATCTGCTGAACCATGCTGTGTAAATAGATTTATGGTGTGTTCCCCTTATTATGTTATTATAAATTCCTCCCTTCTTGTGCTCTCTTTAGTTTAAACATTTTTTTCAGTATTTTCAATTGTTGATTTTCATCTTATGTGCTGATCCTTCCTTTGAATGCAGCTTTGAATTCTAGATTACAAGATGGTAACCACTTAGTAGACAAAGAGAAGGTTGGAACAGAAGATACAGTGGCAAATGGGTTCCCTTCTTCAGGGCCCAGGTAAATTTATGGTTCACTTCTTTTTCCATAGTTAATCAGTCGAGTGTAAAATTGGGGTTCAAATTTTACTGACTGTCATCGCAGTAGTAGGGTCATTACTCATTACCTTTCCAAGATTCTAAGATAATCTATCAGTAGCCCTACTTCCTGAATTGCCAAAATTGGACCCAAAAAAATTTAATTGGCTTGAATTATGTGGGAAAATCGACTAACTTTCTTCCTACCTGTCTGGGAAATAAATTACTGACCTTCCTGTCTTATTCCAGATATCAAAATCGTTAACTAATTCTTGCTGTTTTCCTTTTTTAGTTTCTATGCAGGGCAGGTTATCGAACAGAACACAAAAACATTGGAGAAGGAACCCAATGCAATTGATTCAAGTCAGGAGAGGACAGCTCAGGGTGTGATTGGGCAAGAGACTTGTAAGCTGTTGTCTGAATCAATGGATGTGCCTGATGTGATTGTGGAGGACTCAGTTGGTTTCAAAGATGACGGTGCTGCCTCTGGGTCGCAGAACAGTTCTAGCGTACAGTATGAAGCTCAACAGAATAGTTCTCAGCCTGGTCCAGAATCAGGCTTGATAACCACACCAACTAGCATTGCTAAGCAAAAGGGAAAAAGAATTACCAGATACAACAGAAGGGGCAGGAGCAAGGGTGTCAAATGATGCTCGTTGTATTTTGTATGTTAAATTGTAAGTTACTATGTTAGCTTAGAAAGTAGGTATTCTGCAGGCCATTTGTTGTGAGATTAATAAATATTCACGGATGAGTCTACGCCAACTTAGTATTTTTCTTTCATCTGCTTTTTTTTTTTTTTTTCTTTGGTGATTATGTTCACGAAAATCAGGCTCAGGAATTTGAATGTATTTGCTGTAGAAATGATTAAATTAGCGACATGATAGATTGATAGTTGTGCGTGCGGGCGTGTTTTCTGGTTAACTAGCTTACAGCCTGAATGGGAGCAGCGGCTATTGACAATCTGCTCCTCCTCCTTCCCAACAAGCCAACAGAGGTGTAGGGAATCATAATGTTTTGTAATGTAACATTACTCGAATAATAAGTTTGGGTTTGATTGATTAATGAAAGGCTTTTGTACGCATCATATGGCTTGACATAAGGTAACAGCTAACAGGGAAGGTTGTCATGGAAGAATAATACATCAAATTAACGTTATTAGTACCAGTAGTTCAGTCTTTGAAAATATAAAAATATTATTTTTAAAGCTTCAAGTTATCAATTGGAGATTATTTTATTTTAGTCTTTAAAGTTAAAAAACAACAGTTATTTTAGTTTTAAAATTTATAATAATGACTTAAATGATTTATATCTGATCATTTTAGGGATAAATTTGATGTATTGTTACATATGAAAATAACTAAGATAATTATATTTTATTTTTCTGTTTTAGTTGCAGGAAAAAAATTAAAAGAGGAAAGAAAATTATAATGAGATTAATTTTTCTTTTTTATATGAAGAAAATAAGATTAAAAAATATTTGAATTGATAAATTTACTTAGTTCATTATAACTTGTTTTTTTTGTTTATGGTCGATTCTTACTTTTATGGGTGAGTATATTATTATATTAAAAGAATATAAAAGTTGTTTACTGTAAATATTTACTTAGTTTATTATTACATCGAAAACATTAAAAATGAATTTTCTAGCAAGGTTTTTTAAAATTTCAATATATATATATATTGTAATTAAAAAAAAAACTTATAAAATATATATTAAATAATGTGTTAAAATAGTATTTTCGTCTCTTGGATTAATGTCAGACATCCTAACTACATACAAATCCTTTGGACCTGAATACGCTTCATGATCCGTTACTTTGGAAAAAAAAAAAAAACTCCACTGGTAGCGTGTCACTTGAAATTTGTCTGAGGAAAACAGAGTTGAGAGTCCTATTCTGGAAGCGGAATGGAAGGGGTGTCTTCTTCTTCTTCTCCTTCATCGGCGATAGCGCAGAAAACATGGGAACTAGAAAACAACATAATCCCAATGGACACTCCGGGAAGCAGCGCCCCAAGCGCCGATGACTCAATCTTCTACTATGACGAGGCCGGTCAGAACGAGTTCCAGCGCGACAAGCCATGGGCTAACGACCCTCACTACTTCAAGCGCGTCAAGATCTCCGCCCTCGCCCTCCTCAAGATGGTCGTTCACGCTCGCTCCGGCGGCACCATCGAAGTCATGGGCCTCATGCAAGGCAAGACCGACGCCGACGCCATCATCGTCATGGACGCCTTCGCTTTGCCCGTGGAGGGTACCGAAACCCGCGTCAATGCCCAAGCCGATGCCTACGAATACATGGTCGATTATTCCCAGACCAACAAGCAGGTTCTCTTAAACCCTAGCCCTAACCCTAATCCCATTTTCCCCCACTTATCCTATCGTTTTTCTTTTGATTGAATTTGTTCTTCGTGTGTAGGCCGGGCGGTTAGAGAATGTCGTGGGATGGTATCATTCTCATCCTGGTTATGGGTGCTGGCTTTCGGGGATTGATGTTTCGACGCAGATGCTGAATCAGCAATTTCAGGAACCCTTTCTTGCTGTTGTTATTGACCCTACGAGGACTGTTTCTGCTGGGAAGGTTGAGATTGGGGCTTTCAGGACTTACCCTGAGGGTTATAAGCCTCCTGATGAGCCTATTTCTGAGTATCAGACTATACCTCTTAATAAGATTGAGGATTTTGGTGTTCATTGTAAACAGGTCTTATTTATTTGCTGTTGCTTTGCAGAATCCTTGTTCTGGAATTTTGTTTGAACTGTATTCATGTGTTTTTTTTTTTTTGCAGTATTATGCGTTGGATATCACTTACTTTAAGTCCTCTCTTGATTCCCATCTCTTGGATCTGCTATGGAATAAATATTGGGTGAATACGCTGTCGTCTTCTCCTCTCTTGGGTAATGGAGATTATGTTGCTGGACAAATCTCGGATTTAGGTACTCCTTTTGCTGCAATATTGTTGTTTTGGTTTTGGTTCTGGTTCTGGTTCTGCCATTTGTCATCAATGTGATAGTGGACTACAATGGTTTCTTAATTTTATTATAAAATGTCCTGTAATTTTTATATTTTATTTTAAAAGTAGGAGTATCTCAGTAGGGGATTCCCTTTATTGCAGCTGAAAAGCTAGAACAAGCAGAGAATCAGTTGGCACACTCACGCTTTGGGCCACTAATAGCACCCACGCCTAGGAAGAAAGAAGTGAGTAACTGTTGCTTAACAATTTACAGCAATTTATTTCCTTCATTTATTGGAATTTCTGTATTGAGTGTTTGCTATGGATAATTGGAGTGTTTCATCTTGTTAGTTTGAACTAACTTTTGGATGATCAGAACCTTTCTCGGTCAAGCTGTCATCTACTTGTTGCTGTAGGGAAATTTAGATATACATCTCATGAAATTCTGAGCCTGTTTCTAAAGTTCGTAAGTGAAAATCCATGATCAGTATACCTTGCATTATGCCTTCTCATTTATCAGTCTAGAAATGTAAAGAAAAAACTTCAAGCCAATACTGAATGAATTAACAAGATTCATTGTAAATTGTTAGGAGGGGAGATAGAAGATTGTAAATTGTAGGATCATAACCGGTATTTTAAGATCGTATCAAACATTCAAAATTACACTTAAACCTGTACATATATATATAAAAGGAAATGTGGAGTCATGTATAAAGGCTATGTCAAAAAGAAGCAGAAAACCATGAAACTCAGGCAGCAGCACCCAAGTCACACAAAACAGGGTACCCATGCAGAGACATGAAGCTGATTTTGAACAGAGAAATAAGAGAGAACATGACCCGACCTTGGGCTGTAAGGTTCATTGCGCAAAACTAGAGTTTCAATATGAAAATCAGGTCAAAAACTAATGGGAAACGTATTTTTCAACCTGGGTTATGAAGTCCAACCCAGAAACCTGCACCCACGAATATTGAATCTAATCATAGATCCTATGTCCGTAACGACCCTAGGATGAAAGATGGCAATTCGATGCAATCCTTCTTGCAGTTAACTTAGCATAGGCTTCAATCTTACTATCATGAATTGCGATCGTGAGAACAGTGATTATAATAGCTTTGTAAAGGCCATATCTGCCAAATTTTATCCATCGATGATGCCACATGGCCATGTCATAAGATTAGGCCCCTAATTCCAAACAAAGTTTTCTCCCAACCTCCTGAATATGTGTGCTGGCACTTACACTATAGTGATTTACTTACAGGATTTACCTTAAAATTGATATATATTACATATTTTCTGATATGTTGTAAAATGACATTTATCTAGAATTTTTGTTGGAAACATAATTTGAAATATGTATAATCATGGTAGAATGGAGCTGTATGTGTCTTGCAAACCTGACATCAGTATCGAGTGGCAGCATATGATTCGACTAGTTATTCTTCCTTCTGTGTTACATGCTCCTGTGGTGCGGTTTCAAGGGTGGAGCAGCACTTCAAAGTGAAAATCGTTGGTGTGGTGTGCTCCAAAACGTATTGGAACTTCTGTCTGAAGCATGCAAGTTTGTTGAAAACCCCTAGCTGATTGCCGTTTTCCTAAAATAGCTTCCCTCTTTGGTTTTGCTTCTCCATGGTTGTGTCTTCTTCCCAGCAAAAACTCTTTGTTCCCTCTCTCCCTCTCTCCCTAACTCTCAAATCCTTCTCCACCTACTTCTCTTTCTCCCCCAAAACACTGGTGTGAATATTCTGTGTTGCTGCACCTATGTGTGTCACTGTTGTTGCTGTGTGCTCTCTTCCTCCTACATCCTATCATGGTTTTCCTTCTCTCTGGTCATTGCTACACCCTTCCCTGTTGTTGTGGGCTTGGTGTGTGATTCCCTCCTTTTGCTCTTACGTGTGCTATGGTCTCTGTTTTGTTTTTTGATTAAGGGATGTATGTTTAATTAAATGTTTGGTGTGAGTCAAGAGTTTTATTTTATTTATGCTATTTTTTATGCATATCTACATTTTAGTTGACTCTTACGATTTGTGTTATAATTCACCGATCTTATGATCCAAGACTCCGTTTTTGCTCCCAACTTTTAAATTTGATTTTGACAAACTTGAGCACAGCTGGTAAAGTTGTATACTAGTGTCTTTTGTCAATTAAATTTATGACAGATTGGTTTGGGTCGATTTTTGCATTATTGAGGCTGTAACCCAACCTGATATAGGATGGATTAGATTGGATTGGGTAATCAGGTTGCAGAATTAGAAGGAAAAAAAAAAGCAGAACATGTGCATTGATAGATCTAACAGCTAGTAAATGCAGATCACATTAAGGTAAAAAAAAATAAAAATACAATTCTGTAAACATTGCAGTGAAGGAGAGTAGTGTTGGATTGATGACCTGGGTGGTTGGGTGAATGTTGTTGCTGCTTGGTGGTGAACATCATCACTGCTACATGAAGGGATTATGTTTGAGTGTCTTTCTATGTGGGTGAGCATTGCTGATGCAGTGCAAGGGACTGCAAGTGTCTTGTGTGAGGTGTTTTTTTGTATGACTGTAAAGTTGAGAGGCCACGAGGGAGAGGCTGAGAGATGAGAGTTTGCAAAGCCACCTAGTTACAAGGGTTACATAATTAGGGATTCTGGATTTGTGAGTGCTGTACTTTTGATTCTAAAAATTGATGAACCCAAGCAAAAACTTAATGTAATTTATAATTATATATATTATAAATGAGTTTGGGTAGTGGGGATAGGTAACACATTGCAGGACCGAATACCAAACCAACTTAATTTGGTTATTTTTCAAGAAACCACTGAACCCCATTTTTTGATTGGGTCGGGTCGGGTAGCTTGGGTTAAATGGGTTCACCCGACTCACTATTTCCCTTAATGCAATAAAATATGACCTGAATGTTAGAAGCACGTGGATGGTTGACACCAAAGGATTTTTTTTCCAAATGTATTTTTTGTTTGCTAGAGGATTTTTCAAAATCCTAATACCCCATATTCTTGTTGGCAATGGTCCATCCCATACTTCATAATTAGCGAAAACAGAAAATCACAATATGTCTTAATTCTAATATTTACCTTTCCCCTTGATTGGAAATACTGGATAAATGCATTTCTGAATGAGGTTGTTCCCCACACGCCCCTGCGACCCTGTGTCTGTTTTGCTGAGTCATGAATATGTATTTGTATGGGTTACATGAGTACTTAATTGTGCTTGGTGCTTGATTAGTTTTCTCTGAAGCAGTAAAATTTTGCTGGTTTAACTTGTCATATTGGTTTCCCCATGACATGATTTATTTAGTCAATTTACTGCTCTATTACAGCAAACCTGTACAAGTATGCATGTCTATACTCACATAGAGCACACACAATTGTATGCTTGCTAACAACTCCCCTCACCAGTGTGTTTTTTCATATTCTTTCCTTTTGGAAAAAGTTTCATCAGAGAGAGGCTGTGCTTGTGCTGTCAAATTGCAAAATAAATTATGTTGAAGTTTGATTAGTTTATGCTCATGATATTATTTGGCTACACATCATTTACACATCTCCATGATGGACCGGTATGAATAAAGATGTTTCTTAGTTGGGGGAAAATCTCCTGCAACATGCTTAAAATTTTAGTATATTTGATAATTTCATGATGATGGGTTACTACGCGCATTGTGTAAAACCGATCCAGAGCCATGCAAATACATAGTAGATCTGTTTCTCATTTGACGCTATTCTGTCATTATCAACTCTGTGAGCCATCATTCATTAAAAAAAAACTTTTTGAGCCAGTCAGCCATCATCCATGAACACTACTCAATCCTGAAGTTAATATTGTGTTTCCACTTCCCACAGGAATTTTCCTTTGTATACCGTACGCTGACATCTCAATGATTTGCAGGAAGAATCTCCACTTGCTAAGATTACTCGTGATAGTGCAAAAATAACTGTGGAGCAAGTGCATGGTCTAATGTCACAGGTGACTTGCTTTACCGTCAATCCCCCTCCTTGTCTATTTTGGAAGACGGCTGGAATCTAATGGTCAATATTTATTTTATGTAGGTAATCAAGGACATTCTATTTAACTCCGTTCACCAAGCACACCGATCTCGCACAGAAGCATCTGGCCCTGAACCTATGATTGAAAGCTGATTCTGGCATCTTATAGACGCGCATTTATATATTCTTTTTCTCTTTCTTTGTTTTGGTCTTTTACCTCAATGTCAGCCTACCCATTTACATTTAACAGGACGGTAAATCTAGTTTTGTATTTAGCCTTTTCTTCATGTGCCCTTGCATATCTTGGTTTTATTTCACAAGAACAAATGTGTACTATCGACCTCGGACTCGATTCTAACTAACAGGTCCAAACCGTTGGCCAATGCAAACATAACTCGTACAATCCTTTATTGGTTTGTCCATTAATGCATTTTACCATTAGTTGCTGCGGCGTGCATTTTATCACTTTATATACTGGCCGTACGGACTGTGTGGTCTTTGAATTACGCTCAGTTGATCGCTGCACTCGTTGGTTCATAGTCTGAATGTGACGTGGGTAATGTTATACATTTTTATTTAAATATAATCATTCGAATTAAAGTTTTTTTCTGCGAACTACTAAAAGGCATTTAATGGAGTATAGTTTAAATATACTGTAATTATAACTGTTAATTAGGACGTTTAACTGTTGAGGTTACAATAAAATATAATTGTATGTATGATAAAATCTGACGTTATAGCCTTAATGGTTGATGATCAGTGGAGTAACAGTTGTAATTGTATGTCATCATCTGAAGCTTATTCTTTTATTGTCGAAAGAGTTAAATCCAAACATTGTGTTAAAATCTAAAATGCTTTTCTATTGACTTCTAATATTTTAACAACATGATTCGGGTAGCAAGTATCAAGTCACAGAAAAGGTGAAAGAATACAAGTACAATAAATTTTTTTACATTTTAAAAATTTCCATTATTATGAGATAAAATCTTGTCAGAACCCAAAAACAAATTTCATTCTAGTTTTTATCAATCGAAAGTGAGCTACTGTTGTTTGGCGGAATTAGCACGAGTTTGAACTTGACAATGGTAGCGCAACGCTTGTTACCTTATAACTAAATTCCCGCGAACGTAAATGTTGATTTTAGGCTTTGAACCGTGATCTTCGAAGTCATAAGTTAAACCAGCTTTTTCGTTCTTTTTGGCACTACTTTATTATTCCAATAAGGTGTATTTTCACGAGATTTTTCACAATACCAAATATTTTTTTTAAGTGTAGATAAATGAGTTGCTAACATCTTACAATGACACAAACTAGCAACATAAACCGAGGGATTAACCACCGAAATACGTTACATGCAAATACAACTAAACTTGGATTTAAGTCACCATTTTGATCCCCAATTCGGGATGATTGAAAATAGCGTATGATGAGGATTAGACAGCAGTGGTGAAATTGGATACGTATCATTGCTATGAAGAAGGGATGGTTGATACAAAATGGATGGCTCTGAGGTAAAGTAGATTGTGGACTATGTTCAGTCCTTGTGTCTGCACATGAATATGCATGGAAGGCTATAATTTTGCAAGTCCTTTTCTTATGTACGATAGTTCAGATTATAATCATTTAGATACCCAATAGGAGAGGCCTCAATTTAGACGTACTTTTCATCTTTCTTCCCCATCATTCACCGGCCATCAGAGCAAAAGACCAACTGAAACAGGACTTCTGAGTTCCTAATCATCTTTATTTTCTTCGCCAAACTCACTTTTTAGGCTCTGTGTTTTTGGTCAATTACTTTTAAGTGGGAATTTAGTCTCTATTCACTTTTGTGAATTATGTAGAAATTATGCTTTCCACCGTTCCCTCTCTAAAAAATCAAATTGACTTGTTTAGGCAAATTGATACATTTTTTTTTCTTAAAAATGTATTTAGAAATATTAGATGTTAATTTGAGAATTTCTGGTATACGATCTCTGGAGTCTACTAAAAGAATTTTGTTTTTCTCTCTCTCACTATCATTGCAACATGCGTTCGATAAGATTCTTAGGGGATAACAAAAAGGGACATGTTCATTCACAAGCAAATGGTCCTCCACTTTATTATATGTAACTCTGATAGTACCTGTGACAATTTCACATGGGACTTAGTCTTAACCTACCACCACGAGACTCCTCTTATTTCTTTTTCCAGAATCTGGGAAGCCTAGCCACTTCCATTTCCAACTTTCAGAATCCAACAACTTCTCTGCCATAACACATCATCAAATGTTTTTCACTTTGCCATTTTTTTTATTTGTCTTGTGCTAATCCCTCTTGTGACTATGATCACTTCATCCTCACGAACTTCAACACCCAAATTGTCTTTTGGGTTTTCGAGAGACATGTCCTACCACTCTTCTCGTGAGAAATCTAACTTTCAAGGTCCAAGATCATATCATAATCCTATCACGACTTCCAGTAGCTAAAGCCAACCAAAATAACATTTAAAAGAAAAACATTATCTCCATTGTTTCAAAGGAGATGAATTGTTGACTCGTTATTTTTTCTTATTAAACAAATGTTATGTTCACTAATGTATCATATTATTGCAAAAATTCCTCAAGTGGCCTCATGGGTCAACAGAGATTAGTTTGTTTGTTATCATTGTTTTTCGCAACTTCATGTGTGAAGCAAAACTGTAATGAAATTTTTGTGTTTGTTGTTACTTTATTCTATATTGAGTGATAAATACGATAATACTAGCACAAGGGTGGTGGACAAGGAGAAAAACAGAACCTTAGGCTTTGACTTCATATACAACGTTAGATGATAAACATTGGAGAGTTAACAATCAATTAAAGGATAAATAAGTAAAATGATTTTAAGTATAAACAATTTAAAATCCTAATGTATATGGTTGGTTGCAAAAAGTTTCTGAAATCCCATCAAAATTGACGGGAAAAGAGAAATAATTCGGAGTTATCACAGAAAAAAAATGCCTTGGCCACTTGAGCATGGATTGTCTACTCTAGTCCTATGCCTTATGTTTTATGTGCTTCTCAATCACACTGAAACAAAATATGGGGTCATTTTACATGCACTGCTTTTTCAAATGCCTCAAACAGAAACACTTGTCCAAATCTTGCCTTGGCCTTGAGAGTGAGGGGTGGGACATGGTCACTATTCCATCGTATACATTCGTCCTGACCCAGCCAACAGGGAATTTGTAGACCCAATCCATATTGCATGCCCTTGTGTAAGGCTACTCCTAAGAATCTTTGCTCCACTTGGTACCCATCATTGGAAAATAAAACATTAATTTTTGGTTAGTGTGCCTAAAAATTTTGAGAACAACTATAGCCTATTCAACTTTTGTCAGCAACAATAATTATTCTAATGGCATCTCTTATCTCTGCTTTTCTTTCCCAACCCTTTTTCTATTAAACTTTATACTCGAGGCGTGTCCATCTCCCATTTGATTTGGTAGGTCACAAAAATGCCGAAAGAACTTTTGTGGGGGTAATGTTGGGATGCAATAACAAAGGACCACTTTGCAATTAAGGGACAACAGCAAAATTGTAATAGAATTTGAAATATTGATAATTGATGTATCATTCGGTTTCAACCATTGCTTGCTTGAATTCTATTTGGATATATAGTTTTATGTTTTTTTTTTTAATTCTAAGTCATAAATATAGTTTTATTCTTCATACCAAGATTCACACCTTTTTCTTTTGAAGCATAAATGCTTATTTATATTCGCATGCAGCATAAAGGATAGAAACGGTGAATAAAGTCCATGGGAAATGAAAGCTTCATATTGACTATTTGTAACCATACAACTACTTTAATTTGAATTAACTTGTTACATATCTCAGTTGAAACAACATAATTTTATGGTCAATATATCTTGTTACTTGAGCAAAGGGAAACAAAAAACCCTGTATTTCTAATGTAAGTCAAACGTTTCAAAAAATTGGACGTGGAATTAGTTTTACGTGTTACGGTTTTATGCCCCTCACACATCAAATCTACTTCCGGCATTTCCTTGTTTAGTGTTAACAGCTAAGTAAATAAAAATTTGTGGATCTGTTGACCACCATAAAGTAGCAAACTTCTTGTTATACCTAATAAATTAATGTTGCTGATAAAAAAATACTAAACAGCTTTAAGGATAATTGTATGGGTCTACTTGAAAAGTAACATGATTTCAAGCTAAGATTACTGTCAAACCTTAAAAATAAGTCATAAACAACCTAAATTTTTAGATAAACCTAGGTCCAACCCAACCACAATGACTTATGTTACTAAGCTAGGACTAGCCATGAGCACCTCCTACTCCAAGAGCAAAAGCAATGGTTTGATTTAGAAATGTAATGTGGATAGATAGTGTTAAAATTAACATTATCCCATTAATAGCAAGTGTTAACTTTGCCAGGAAAAATTCTACACCCTTTTTTTTCCTATTTGTTTACATTAGGTTGTGTAAAAATGTAATGTGGTGGAGATCAAACTTCTCATATTATCATCTTTCCCAAGTTTCAAAAAGCACAAGTCAATGCATTTTGAAATTGCTCTGTCAACTAACCCTTCATTTCTAATTCTTTACGTACTTGTAGATATAGTCAAAGTGCCCAGAGATTTTTTCTGATCAAATTTAATATCGATACATATACAAGTTTTGAAGCTATATATCGTTTCAATTTTAATAATTGAATATATGAATATTTAAGATTAGGCAGGTAGTTTATTTCATGTTAAAACGATTTTATTGCATACCACGCTAGTGCTCTTATATATAAACTTGATGAGAATCATTCCTGCCATTTTGATTTCTGATTTTTTATTTTTAAATTAATATAATTGTATATTATTTATGATGATAAATAAATAATTAATAATTAATATATTAAATTTATGATAATTTATTAAAATAAAATACTTTTATTTAAAATAAAAAAATTGTTCTTTCTTCACTCTTTATTTAAAACCTTCTTTCTCAAATAACACCTAAACGTCCCAAGCAAAGTACATCACGGAATGATATAATGAAAAGAACAAACAAAGACCACATACTGAATACGAATATTTTATGAAATAGTCTCACAAGTAACATTCACTATTTTTTCTTCTAAAAATAAAAATCTGGTACAACGAGATTTCAATACAAAATTATAAGACATTCAAACAAGATAACAGCATCAATTAAAAAGTTAATAAATAAAAATTATAATTTATGACATTTAATATATTAAAAAATTTAAATATTATATTTGATTCTTTAACTAATATTCTAGTTTACTACTGATTTGTGCATCTATTTCATGAAAGAGATGTATGTTTATAAATGTCTTCACGATTATACGAGAATTTGCTTTGGAATAATGCTTCTAAACTAGAGTTTGTGTTATTTATGTT